TTTCATAGGAGACAAGACGTCGCGCTGGTCAGCTCTGAGGCACAACGAGAGAAAGGACTTTCACAAAAAATTATCGGATCAGTCGATCATCACTTTGGAATCAGAACGCGAAATTTTAAAATTACGTCTGCGGAGGAGAAATCAATAAGCTATTGAACTTCCTCTGACCTTAATAACTTGAGCACTTATTCGTACACAAAAATGAGCCTCCCTGGCATGCAGATTAGATACCCCAAGAGTGTTTCTTCCCACCGAACAAGAAAAATTCTTCCTCAATTTTCTACGTTAACTTGAAATACCTGGCGCAATGCAATTATTGTGGTTGCCCGACATTCTCCGATAGTGCGCCCGAATCACTGACTGGGCGTAAGTTTCATATTCTGGAATTTGGGGCTGTCTCAAAAAAATTTTACGTAATAATTTTGATCTAATCGGATTAACGTTAATTACAGTGATGTTACAGTGCGGCTGAATTTAAGTTTATTCGTTGATAACGTTAAGGCAGGCACGAAATAAAGCGGAAGCATAATATCGTACAGAATGGGCGTGCTGTCTTTGTCAACATGTCGTTGTGCGGCTCGTAAAATATTGATGAAATACTCGGTCAAAGGTCAACGTTGTTTTTTCGGGTGACCCATGGGATCGGAAACTGGGCTCTTATTTTTTAATTTTATAAGACTCTGGAAAATTCTTTGACGTTCATAGATAATTTCCCCGTGAGACCTGTTTTTATTTTGGACTTTTTAACCTTATCCGAAGTCGTAGATGTTTAAAGGCTTGAAAAAATGTTTTTTCGCCTTTAAAGAAATGTCAAAAGAACAGCATTAGAAACTGACTAAAATTTTAAAAGTCATTATTGCCAATGGGGAAAAGGAGAGAAAAAAGGAAGGGAAAAGGAAGGGGGAGAGATAGAGAGAAAGATAAAAAGATGTACATAGATTTTAAGAGGAATTTAGAAAAATATGTTCTCTGAAAACTGATCCAAAATTCTCAAAAAAACAGTCACTAATGTTAAGTCATATTTCTTATTTCTCTTTTGGAGATAAATCCCGCCGAATTGAAAAATTGTAAACGTGTAGATACTTAGACGCAATCGAACAAACCTCCGCTCAGCAAGCCTATCCTTATTTGGGATCGGTATATTTTCAAATCGAGAACTCAGTACCATTCTTAAGCCATTCATCTTCCTTTCAAAATATTCTTTCAGAAGACTTCCCTTTTACTATTTTGTCTCACTGAATTCTCCATTTTTTAAAATAAAATAAACTATCTGCGACACTGAGAGGCCACAAGAGGAGGATAGAATTCACAAAGCTACGATTCTCTTGCCAGAAAATTCCGCAATCCAACCAATGGCAAGTTGTCCCCCGCGCGCGCGTAATCCCCTTCAGAATTCGAGGTAAGCAAAAACAGCGCAGCTACGTTAAAATAGTTGCGCTAAATATTACGAAGGGTTCTCTAACGACCAGCTCCTATCAGCCTCCCAACGATCGCGACGGTTAGATGTATGTTGGCTGATCACCTTTGAAATGGTTTTGACTGTAATATTTGAATGAAGGATTCTGCCGAGGTGAAAAAAAAAAATTAACACGTCAATTAAATGAATCGAATTCCGAACATTCAAAAAAATACAGTCAATGATCTTAATTCCAAAAATTAAAAAAAGAAAAATTCAAAATATGATAAAACAAATAATCTTTATCTCTCAAGTTCTTTTATAAAAATCTTCGACTTCTTCCAGATATTGACGGATGCACGTGGTGTTAGTTTTGTCGAGCAAACTAAACCGAAATTATTTTAAAACTCGATGCTTCATTCATTTATGAGTATTGCCTTGCATCGGAGATGTACAAAAATAGTCGCTCTTAGAGTCTCACAATGATCATAGGGGAGTTAAGGTCCGGGGAGCTCCCTAATCGTAATTGTGGTGTTACTTTTGTGGTGGCAATTACTTATCGGTCTTAGTAACAAAATGTCGTCGCGGTCAACAACGTACCACGACCAAAATAATTGATACGACAAAAGAAACATTGTACCTGAGTGCGACTAGGAAAATATGCACAACCTAGAACCCACTGTGGGTATTGTAAGGGCAACGATTCTTTTATTTTCCTGCACATCGGCAATCCCTCTTCATGCCTATTTTGTAGTAAAAAGTTGAGGAATTAGTGATTATTCTGAAGCTGATTGACAGGCTTCGATAAACCTAGTTATAGCCTCAAAAATTTAACAGTTTCACCTGATTAGTTGTAAGTATCATAAATATCGCTCCGAACCGGTGGCGTGGCGTGCTTTGCGATGTATCGATTGTTAAGCCATTTAAACCTATGAAAAAGGATCGATAAACAGGGTGTTCGCAGCGAACACCTTAACAATCGATTCTTCACCATAGGTTTAAATGGCAGAACAATCGATACATCGCAATTCACGCCACGCCACTGCTTCGAACTGGTTATCAAGGCAAACTCTCCATCTCGAATAAACGAGAGTGAGACTTATTCGCTCGGGCTCGACTTGTCTCACTTTCGCAACCTCCCTGGAATGGAGGCAGCTCGCCATTGAAACTAACTACTTTACTTTTATGTAAAGATCTCGATTTTCTTAAACGACAGGTCAACGGTCGGAATCATACACACCCGATGCCCACCTCTTTCACCCGCGAAGTGCTTTGTCAACCGATTATATTGAACTGTTGCTCATCTCCTACTTTCTGCGCGAATCGAAGAATCACAGATCGCAGAAAACAGTTGATATATATGTACTTTAAGACTGATATAATGGAGATGTTGCATGAGTGAGGGATTTGCGATTTGACCATTGATTCTCTTGTAAAAGTTCGCGAGAAACACGATGGTGCCACTGGTTTTCTCTGAAATCAACTCCCAGGCTCAAAAAAAACTCTCAAAGAGAGGCCAAAATGGAAAGGATATCCCACCCTACCCTGAGAGTCCACCTCTACATCAAAACAAACTCTCGATGCAAAGATAGGGAGCAAATAAATTGACAGGGTTGCCGTGTTTTCAGTTTTGGAGTCCCCAATTAAAGTGGCAGCCCTGTCAATGTATTTGCTCCCTATCTTTGCATGGAGAGTTTGTCTTGATGTAGAGGTGGACTCTCAGGGTAGGGCGGGATATCCCCTCCATTTTGGCCTCACTTTGAGAGCTTTTTTTGAGCTTGGGAGATGATTTCAGAGAAAACCAGTGGCACCATCGTGTTTTTCGCGAACTTTTACAAAAAAATCAATGGTCAAATCGCAAATCCCTCACACATGCAACATCCCCATTAGTCCACATGATTCATAAATAAAACCACCGAATGAGTTTTACTTCTAAATGCTAACTAATATGGTTCACGTCATCATATAAATTAAACTACCAAATGCTATTGCGATTTATCCATGCCTCGGTTATCCGCGGTCAATTTAAGCACCCTCTATTCCCAATGCAAATCAATATCCCAAACCTCTATCAGAAATTTCTTCCACGGATGATGTTGACATACTTGGACCAAGAGGTAAAACTATTTAATCTATTCTTAAAAAATAATTATATTCCTTTTTTAATACGAGACAGCAGGTGTTTACAAAGATTCATGTCAAATGCAGTCTTTCCGATTGGATTTTGTAATGTTTCCTAGCCGCGCTTGATCATCGATGATTTTCGATTACCCGTGGTACCTGCGGCTCTCATCACCACGGATATAGGCTATAGACCATATTATACTGTGCTACTTAATGCTATTTATTGCATCCCGCCGCACTTCAAGAGTTGGGCTCCTATCTTTAGCGGTTATCCACTCCAAAAGTTTTGAATGTTATATTTAAGGCAGAAGGGCCCTTCGGAGGAAACTCAAAAAATTGCTTATCGACGAAAAACCCATTTTTGATCAGAGGAATTTTTTTAGTGTATTTTATTAGAAACTCTTTTTAGAGCTCTCAATAACATTGGTTTCAGATTTCAAAATATAACTTTCACCTAAAATGATTTTTAAGTGTTATGAAAATACGTGTCTAAGGCTAAACACAGCGCAAGAAAACTATAAAGTTTTTTGGAATTCTCAGTTTTCCGCCTTCAAACCTTGAACGGTTTGTAATGCAGGTAACTCCAGATAATTTTGGAGGGATCAAGTCGAGAAATACAAATTTTAAAGTTTTTATGTAGACCTTTGGGTTCATTCACTTTTTTCCAGTTCAAGTCCATCGTCCGGAAATTTTCAAAATTTTGGGGGGGAGGGGGGATTCTTCCCTAGACTCGTGAAATTTAATTTTTGAAATTTTTTTTTTAATGATTTGGATGCGACCTATGAAGTAAAATTTAGTGACTTTATTGTTTCAGTCTCGTCGAAAAGCGGTCTTGGGCCTTGTTGAACATTTGGACCACGTTTTGCGATGAAAAACTACAACTGGCTCATCCGTAAAATCATATTTCGACGGTGAAACTACCAGATCACGTATCTCGTTTGCGGTGTTTAAAAATCTCCACTCACATTTTATTTTTTTGGAGGAGATCAAATCAATATCATTCCTTACAATTTTCACAGATTTTTCTCCTTACAAAGAGGAAAAATTACGGAAGTTTTCACGAATTGACGTTGAGTAGTTTTCTATTTATAAAATAAAGTATGGCAGGGAGTCTGCGACGTCGCAAACCGAGATACGTGGTTTGGTAGTTTCACCGTCGATTTGCGCATAGGGGAACTAATCCTCCTCACATCGAGGAGGCAGTATATCCAAATCTACGTTAAAATGTACATACAATTGAGTTAAGTTTTAACACAGCTAAACTAAGCTTTGAAAGATATTTACATGTATCTGTAAGTAAATATTGCACAATTTTCTTTCTTTGTGCAAATTAAAAAAAAAAAAAAGAAAGAAACTAATGGCACATACGTCGTTTTCTTGACTGAGCCAGAATTAGTATTTCAAAATCGCAAAATGTAGTCAATTTATGCTTTACTTGCGATATCCGAGTGTAAGGAGCTGTAGATAAAGTGTTACTTACTCAGATGTGATCTCCTAAATGGGGTAACTTCCAAAACTGCACCCAAAAAAATCACTCAAATTCGAACCGAAGCGCACTCCTGTCTCGCAGCGTGAACTTTCAGTCGGCGAGGGCCGCCGCGGAACTGACCACGCGAGTTTGTTTACGCGAAAGCTCGTGAGCTTGGAGCAACGCAACGCGGCGCGGCGGACACTTTCCATTCATCGACTGAAGGGCCCGCGATGGCCGGCGCCGCGCCGCGCCGCGTGCTACAGGTGCGATGGACCACCCCGCCCGCCCCCAGCCCGATCTGACCGTCCGCCGCAGACGGCGCTAAACTCATTCATGATTGTTCCCGCCAAACCGATTCCGATGGCGCGGCGGGCGACTGGCCAAAAGCCCGCCTCGAGCCGATTCGAACGAACATCTATGCCGAAGAGAGCAGTAAATGCAAAAATGAAGTTTTGAGAAAACGGGCTTAGAGACTTCAGACCGGAAAATTTTATCGAAAGAGGCCTCCGTTCTTTGTCTAATTATTGTAATCTCCCGTCGCATTTCTAAGGCGCAATGATACAACTATTTGAACTCTCCGAAATGCGTGAGGTATCACGCCGCATTTGAAGGCGTTTTCAAAACAGCCAAGTTCCGATACCCGGATTATTGTTTTGAATAGTTCATATTCTTTTGTTTTGTTCCGTAGCACTTGTTTATTTTTAATCCTCGTATAAAAACCACCCATTTGCTAAACACAATGCTAGCTGGAGCGCACTTCAGATATGCATTCACCACTGCAAAAATGTCAAAGGAAATCGACAAGCCCAGCGTGTATGGAAACCGCGTTTTGAGAAAAACGCATTTAAAGTTTTGTTTTTGATGTACTGCGCAGACTTTTCTATGCAGGTACCCTGTTTTGGTGTTTTTGGGTGACCTAACCCTTCTCTTGAAGGATGCCGGGTAGATTTTGCGATACATTTTGGGTTTACGCTCTCATATATTTCATTTAAAAAAGCGGTTCAGGCCATTATTACGCCCAACAGTCATTTTGGTGGCAATATGAAGTATAAATCATTTTAATCACTTATGATTAACGCAAAATGAAAGAATATCGATAGTGAGTAAAGGAAGGGGTAACTAGCACCTTATAGGCCCGTTTATAGGTCGTTCTTGCACCCATCGATCCAGAGGCCTGACTTAACCCAGAAAAAAAAGGTTTTTCGACCTCGAGCCGTTACCTATCTATATTCTATCGCTACCACAGCATAGTCCAGGGTACGTAGAATCTGAAAAGCAGATGGACGTAATAACGACCTGCACGCCTATTGGTGCGGTGTCCTCAATTGCTACCAATCGTCCGTATTTAAGACACTGCAAACGAGACACATTATTTGGACTGCATTTTACAAAAAGGAACCAAGAGCATTGCGATGTTGTGTACAACTTCTTTTGTCTTGGAGGAAAATCTCGATTATCCATTAACAGTTCTTATTTTACTCGCTAAAAACCGTAAATTTAAGACAAAAATTACCATCTAAATTTAATATTTTTCACGATTTCAGTCATTTCATTGCAAAGGATAAAGTTGCACAATCTTAGCATCATTGCAATGCTTCTGGTTCCTTTTTGCGAAATGCAATCCATTTAGTAGTTTCACTGTTGATATATGCGACAGGCGCTCTGGTATTTTCTATCTCGTTCCCAACATAATTTTACACGAAATTGAGGACGATCAAAACTCAAATAATTCTCTCCTCGTAAGCACACAAAGTAGAGAAATGCGAGTTAGCTGTGGAAAAAGAGAGCGCCGACGGCAACCCTCCGTCCAATTCTTGCTGTTGCTATGAAATATGAATACAACTATTGCGGCTTCAGAGGACTCGCTTTTGCCTATCTTCCGTATTGAAGGCAAATCAAGTAGCTACCCGAAAACTTTAAACAACAGACGCATTGCTCTTTGGCATTTTCCACCTCGTCACAGACTCACAATCAAAATTTTACGACGAAAATTGATGGCGATGAAAACTCAAATACAGTGGCGTGGCGTGGCGTGGATTGCGATGTATCGATTGTTATGCCATTTAAACCTATGGTAAAGAATCGATTATTACGGTGTTCGCAGCGAACACCCTGTTCATCGATCCTTTTCCACAGGTTTAAATGGCATAACAATCAATACATCGCAAAGCACGCCACGCCACTGCTCAAATAATGCTCTCACCGTGAATACCCAAAGTAGATACAAATACAAGTTAATTGTGGGAGAAGAAATACGCGCCGCCAACCCTCCGTCTACTTCTTGATGTTGGCATGATAAGCGCATACAACTATTGCAGCTCCTGGGGAACCGCTTTTGCCTATCTTCCTAATTGAAGGCAAGTTAAGTGATTCCCAGAAAACTTAACGCGACAGACGCTCTACTCTCTGGCATTCTCCACTTCGTTGCAAACAGAATTTTACACGCAATTGGAGGCAATGAAAACTCTAATAATGTTCTCTCCGTGAATACGCAAAAACACATACTACATACAAGTTGGTTGCGGAAAAAGAGAGCGCCGCCAATCCTCCGTCAACTTTTTGATGTTGGCATGATAAAGCGCATACAACTATTGCAGCTCCTGAGGACCCGCTTTTGCCTATCTTCCTAATTGAAGGCAAATCACGGGACTCCCAGAAAACTTGCGCTCTGGCATTTCTGACCTCGTTGCAAACAGAATTTTACACGAAATTGAGGATGATGAAAACTCAACTAATACTCTCTTCGCAAGTACACAAAGTAGACGCACGAGTTGGTCTTGGAAGAGGAGCACTGGGGAAAAAACACCTTGGATCTAGAGTCCAGACTCTTGAAAACATTGACAAGAAAAAATACTCTCGATTCAATCGGATACTTGCTTGAATCAAAACGAAATCCGCTTAAATTAAGAGGCTTTTACCTATTTGCCGCCCATGGGATGGGCCGCCTATATTTTTCCGCCCCCATCTCATTCGTTTTGAAACATCATTAGGTCGTATTACGACAGTGGTTCGATGTATCGTTTGGTTCAAAACAATAGAACATGACCTCAAACAAAAATTTTAGGATTTAATTTGGAAAAGCTGAAAATGATAAAATTCCCAACAATTTCACTTTTCATTGCCATTTGGTACTGGAGAGAATAAAAAATCGATCACATAAGACCCGTTACCTCAGATTTCTAAATTGACTTTTGAGGCTGTGGTTACATATTGAGCCAATCGATATCAATATAATCTCACCTGTGTGATCTGTTGAATACGATTTATCAAAACCATCAAGTGAAAAAATTATGAAAGAACAAACATAAATGTGGTTAATAATTTTAACTTCCGCCGCTGCGCCGACCGCACTGTGTTGGCGCAATGCGTGAAGTATTCATGCAGTCTTGTAGACGCTATGCGTTTCAGGCCGACTGCTGCTGACCGCAGTGCCGCAGTGTGCTTGACGCAATGCGTGAAGTATTCATGCAGTCTTGCAGGCGCTATGCGTTTCATGCCGATCGCCGCGTCGCACCGCTCCGTTCCAGGTTAAATTGCGTGTTTGGTTTCTCTCTGAACTCGACTAATTAAAGGTTTTGTCTCTTGTATCACCGAAAGACGACAAAATTACAAATTACTATACTTTCACTCTCAGGACATGAGAGATTTTGTCGCCTTTCCTCGTTAGTAATATATTTTCTGAATCCGATTTTTTTCTCTGTTTTTTTGATACCTACATTCAAAAAGATTGCAAAATTTGCCGCCCCCTACGTTTTGCCGCTATGGGCCGCGGCCCATGTGACCACCCCCTTAATCCGGCCCTGTGGACTAGGATCGCCACTGCCGAGCTAAGGAAAAACGCCGTATGAGCATTCAAATGTCGCCAACTTCCCTGTCACAAAATATTTACTTTTGAAGGAAGATATGAATATTTTTCCTTGACATTTTCAGACTTCGAAGATCAAGTTATGAACGAAATTCTCTGTAAACCCGGGAGAGAAATATTTAAAGATTTCCCCCAAAAATCAGGATTTGTCAAAGGATTTGGCGATGTCTGAAGGCTCTAACAGGGTTTTAACTTTGGCACGGCAAAACGTTGTATCAATTGATTCGGGACGTGCGAAAACTGCTGATGTCCATTTTTCCAGTCTTCAGTTTTTAGTGTATTTTCCGAAGGAAATACACTATTGCATTCTCCCATGATGTCGGACCCAGACCCGAGACCTTGTGAAGAGCATCGATCACGGGTCGTAGATCACGAAAATATATGCCATTCAAATTCATGTGTATATATATATGTATGTATATATGTATGTATATATGTATGTATGTATGTATGTATGTATGTATGTATTTCCGCCTTTTGAAGATTTTTCGATTTTTGAGTGGTTATATCTTTCTTACGTTGAAAGATATTTTGACCAATTTTTTTGCATTTTGTAGAGACTCATTAGGACTACTATTCTGCGAAAAAAAATTGAAATTTGAGGCAATAGATTTTGAGGGGTGGGGCTCGAAAGTGGGGGGAGGTGAAATCTTGTCCACTCGATAACTCGAGCGAAAATGAATATTTTGAGCTGAAATTTTTATAGGTGGTAGTTCTCCCCTAGGACTGGTTTGGTATTGAATTTGAGCTAAATCGGCCGAGCCGTTTAAGAATGGCGAGCTTTGAAAGTTTTAGGCGAGGGGTGCGCGGCATGAGGGGAGCCGACCGGAGCAGGGCCGCACAGTGGGTCAGGGGAGAAAGTTTTTGGACAAGCTGATCGTCGCACAGTGGGTCAGGGGAGAGAAGTTTTTGGACAAACTTTTCATCGCACAGTGGGTCAGGGGAAGGAAGATTCTGGACAAATTGTTCGTCGCACAGTGGGTCAGGTTAAATGATCTGTTCTTGAACAAAATCTCACCATTTAACCGTCACAACCTTTCGCAGCGCGTTCGCTGGCAACGTACTGTGCTGCTCTTATGCCTCAAGAAATTAATTCATTCCCTTACAGATTGATCCCTCCCCCCCCTTCGGAAAATACACTCTTCCCGCGGTGGACGCGCGGGTCGCTTAAGAAGACAGAACAACTGGAATGGACACTCAAACTAAAAAGCGCGCGCGAAGCGCGCGTCTACAATACGCGCGCGAAGCGCGCGTCCTGGGGGGGCTTGGGGGGGCGAAGCCCCCCCAAAAAACCGGCGCGGAGCGAAGCGGAGCGCCGGTTTTTTTTGAGTTCATAATACTTTCCGGAGTTGGTTGCAACCACGAAAGTGGCGTTGAAACCATGGTGTCTAGTTTTCTTGGCAAAGCTCATTCCCTGATTTTTCCCTGATTTTCAGGAGCTCATTCCCTGATGAGAAACCGAAGTTTTCTCCCACTTCCTGGGATTTTCTTGGGGAAAACAATATAATTTTCCAGAGTTTCAGATATGAATATCTATTTTAATTAATCTTACAGCCATTTCTTTGGCGCACGTCAGATTAGACCGCCACATTTGAAAACGAAATGATCCCTGCGTGGTTGGAGAAGAGATTCCCAGTTTCTGGAACAGATTCCCTGAATGTCCCCTGATTTTCCCTGTAAATTTTCATTCCCTGCGAATCCCGGTTTTTAAAAAACTAGACACCATGGTTAAAACTTATCTTCGAGTTTCCTTAATCCCAAAACGAGTCTTTTCATAACTTTATGTTTGTATCACCTCTTTAAAAGTATTATGAACTCAAAAAAACTTAAAACTGGAAAAGTGGACATGAGCGGTTTTCGCACGTCCCGATTCAGTTGGACCAACGATCGCAGTGATAAACAGATATAAAATCGAGCGTTGAAATGTTCGAGGTCGAGGCAGCGACGCGACGGAGGTATCATCTGCATGTCAGATAATCCTCTGTTGTTAACATTTGTGACAAAAGGAATGCGACGGTTACAGTTCGGTTGCCGTGCATCCCGAGACGCCAGATCTTGGGAGGAAAGTGCGAACTTTCCGCTTAGCGACTGCAAAAAACCAAAGTTTCCTGAACCTAGTGGCAACGAAGCCTTGTATCAGAGATTCAGAGATAATACGAGTTAACAACGCTGCTGTGCAACGCAAAAACGCCGTAAACGCCATGTTGATTTTTTTTGGAAACAATGTATCATAGCAGAAAAACTTGTGTACCTAGAGACAGTGTTTCTACTGAATTCTTTCATGAATACTTTCAAGAACTCAACCTGAAAATTTGAGGTGCTTGGGTAAAACAGTTTTTATTTTGTAAATTGTTCAGTTCCAAAAAACGCGGGAAAATCTTGATGGATTTACGGCGTTCTTGCTTAGCATGGCAGAACGGTGGGTGCGTGATAAGGAGTCGTCAGCCACGCGTGACGCAGTCGCAGCTCGAGGGGTATTTTATCTTTGCCTTTGGTGGAAGAGGTGCGTTTCAACTGTGACGTAAATGAAAATCGCTGGATGCACATCTTTTACTCATGCGGCCATCCTTTCTCGATTCTGCCCTAACTCGGTTGACCGTCGGTCAGTGCCTTATCAAGTAAGTGGAGTGTGTCAAGTGCCGGATCATCTCTGCTCATTTTTCAACAGGCTTCTCTCTTACTGTCGGTAAGTTTTTCTTTCGGGAAATTTAATTGAAGCGTAAGTACGTGAGCTAGTTTTCATCTCCTAGTTTTGCAATCTTAGCACAAGCTGTGGAAACCCCACTAAGATTTCCCTGAAGTGAACTTAACGGATTTTGCACGGTGTTTCTCATGCAGTACCTCACTGGAAAAAAAAAAACACATTGGATCTAGAGTCCAGACTCTTGAAAACATTGACAAGAAAAAGGACTCTTGATTCAATCAGATTTAAGCTTGAATCAAAAAGAAATCCGCTCAAATTAAGAGGCTTGGTTCTTGATTTAAGCTTGAATCTGATTGAATCAAGAGTATTTTTTCTTGTCGATGTTTTTAAGAGTCTGGACTCTAGATCCAATGTGTTTTTTTTTCCCAGTTCTGAAAATAAACCCTCGAGTTAAACCCCTCATTCTACTATTGAATAAATTCGCCTCACAGTCAGGAAAACGGATCCAGATGTTAAGATTGGTTGATGCACAAGCTGGAGACTTAAACGCGGCACAAAAAAGTAAACTAATTAGAAGTTGTGAGTTTCTCTTCATAGGAAATTTTATAGGTCATAGGTAAAATGTTTAACTCTCGTTTTTTTTCATTACTTTGTTCAAATGATAATCTCACATATTCCTGATTTTTATCAGAAGTGTAAATGGCCTAGTGATGAAGGATGAGGCAGGATGAAGGTAAAAGCTGCTTCCCATTTCCTTTAATGTGTTATTTCTAAAATTCAGAGGAGACACAATATTATTGTGACACGTTATGATTTTCAACTGAACTATCACATTTCACCAATAAAAATAAAAGTAATGTTCTTAAATAGTTCCTTTTTGGTGTTTCAGCTCTCATCAAGTAAAGATGAATTTTACAATTGAGATTAGGTCGAACTCTCGTGGAATTCTTCGAGTTGGAGATGGAGATGGAGATGACATATCCTTGACTACAAACATGGGTAAACACCAAAACTAGAATTTTCAAGCCTTCATTTAATACAAAGAATTATGTGGTCTGGTGCAGAGCAATCAGACTCGCATCACCTGTTCAGAGTTTGAGTAAACCGCGAAAATTTTTTTTAACGATTGCGATTCAAATTCAAGAAATGTACCTAGTCAGTGTTAGCAGATCAAGGGCATTGAATCAAAAGTCAAAATAATAGTTCAGTAGAATAATAAAATTATTCACTAGATTCGTATTTTCTGACAGATAAGAATTTGTTCACTATACGACTCACTTTGGTAAAAACTCAGAGCTTTGAAAAATGCAAAAAAGATGTCAGACTTCAAAAACCATAGAGACAAACAAAGAATTAGTATGGAAAAGCGCGAAAATTTCATTTTGACTTCATTTATGTTGGGGTAAAAAATTGATATTTGCGTGATTGTGTGACGGCGGAGTTTCAGATTTTTTCTTTTTTCTTTCTTTTTCTGCAAAGTAAGTCCGAATGGCTCAGATCGACGGTGTGAGTCCGCAAATATGTATCTCGGTTTGCGACGTCGCAGACTTCCTGTCATACTTTATTTTTTAAACGGAAAACTATACACAACGGAAATTCTTAAAAACTGAAGTGATATTTCTTCCCTGTGCAAATTCTGCGAGAACTTCAAGGAATGATGTTGATGCGTCTTCCTGTAAAAAAAAGGAAGAAAAAAATAGGAGCAGAGATTTTCAGACACCGCAAACGAGATATAAGATAGCGGACTTACGCCGTCGATTTCCATGTATCTAGTAGGTAAGAGAGCAAATTAGAAGAGGGCAATTAGCTTGCAGTAATTGAAGCTGACATTCTTACTTTGCATGTTTTTCATTGAAGCAGATAATTCTTACCCCTTTAGATGAACACTCCTAACTTGATTTGGGCTCAAGAAAGACGAGGGTCCCCCTAATCTATCCCATGTATCGACGGTGTAAGTCCGCAACCACGTATCTTGTTTGCGGTGTTTGAAAATCTCTGCTCCTATCTTGTTTGTTTCAAGGAAAACGAATCAACATCACTCCTTGAAGTTCTTGGAGAATTTTCTTTGCACAGGGAAGAAATATCACTTCGTATTCGGGTTGTTGTTGAGTGGTTTCTCCTTTAAAAAATAAAGTATGACAGGAAATCTATCACGTCGCAAAGCGAGATATATGGTTGCACACTTACACCGTTGATTGGCTGTCTTACTTACTACCTACTTAATCACTTTCTAATAAAAAGAGGCAATGAAATATATTTTTTTATCCATCAGTTGTGACCTTCTATGCTTGAATCTGATATGGTTAAAACTTCGTTTTAGTTTTAGGTTCAGGGAGAAATTTAACATTTAACGATGTCCTCATGTTGTTTACAGATGGATCAACCCGTCGCGCAAATTTAGTAACCCGATTGCCCTCGGCTGCATGTGCTTCAACCGCCACATCCGCAGTTTCGTCTGTCTATAATACATCAGTTTCTACTTCATCAGGCCATACCTCAACATCCCGTATTCTCTTAGCCCAGTTAGCCCAGATAAGAGGTATTTCATCACCCCGCACTTCATCAGCCAGTGCTTCATCAGCCCGCACTTCATCAGCCCGCGCTTCATCATCCCGCACTTCATCAGTCAGTACTTCATCAGCCAATCCTTCATCAGCCAGCACTACATCAGTCCGTGCTTCATCAGCTCGCACTTCGTCAGCCAGTGCTGCATCAACTCGTGCTCCATCAGCCCGCACTTCATCAGTCCGTACCACATCAGTCCGTACTTCATCAGCCAGTGCTTCATCAACTCGTGCTCCATCAGCCCGCACTTCATCAGTCCGTACATTACCAGTCGGTACTTCATCACATAGAGCTGGTTCATCCATGGCTTCGTCTCCTCGTACCCTCAAAATAGTTCACGAGTAAGTGTAAATACCCGAAAATTGTGATGGGCTATTGATCAAAACACATTAATTCATGAAAAAGACAGAGCTTGACTTATACGTGGGCGTCCGTTGTATTGATAAGATGGATTGAAGAGGTTGAGATTTGTACGAGGGGCTTCAATAAATAAGTATCCCCCCTCTCTAAAATCAATATGAATGGACCAATTTTAAAAAACTTGAGCTCAAAATCTTCCTTAGGATATACTGAGTTCAACAAAACAAACCGCAACAAAATCGGACTATGTGCGACCGAACGCGAGCCGTTTGAACGCGCCGAGGTGCTCGAGGCTCCCGCCAAATCCGCGGGGATTTGAAGTCCGCGACAGTAGAAGAACTTCTCTGCCAAAGCCTCAGTCGTTCATCACTGACGAAAAATCAAAGAAGTTTTTGTAGAATAAGGGGCTTACCTCACTTCTCCACATAACCAGCTCGATCCAAGCAGGTCTGATACTGAGACTAAGAGAACAGCTTTTGGATGCCACGCGCGTAGAGGTCTTTCAGCTGACCGGGGATGAAAGAGTGGACGGCTTGTTTGACCTCTTCCACTGATTCAAAATTAACTCCCCAGAGTTCAGATTTCAGATACGATAATAAATGGCAAACCGGACCACCATTTATTCCTGTTTCTGAAATCTGAACTCGGGGGAGTTAATTTTGAATCAGTGGAAGAGGTCAAACAAGCCGTCCACTCTTTCATCCCCGGTCAGCTGAAAGACCTCTACGCGCGTGGCATCCAAAAGCTGTTCTCTTAGTCTCAGTATCAGACCTGCTTGGATCGAGCTGGTTATGTGGAGAAGTGAGGTAAGCCCCTTATTCTACAAAAGCTTCTTTGATTTTTCGTCAATGATGAACGACTGAGGCTTTGGCAGAGAAGTTCTTCTCTTGTCGCGGACTTCAAATCCCCGCGGATTTGGCAGGAGCCTCGAGCACCTCGGCGCGTTCAAACGGCTCGCGTTCGGCCGCACATAGTCCGATTTTGTTGCGGTTTGTTTTGTTGAACTCAGTATATCCTAAGGAAGATTTTGAGCTCAAGTTTTTTAAAATTGGTCTATTCATATTGATTTCAGAAAGGGGGGATACTTACTTATTGAACGCCCCTCGTAACAAGATCGAGAGGGACAGAAGTACACGTGAGACAAGTTGCCTCCTGCAGAATCTAGGGTGAAAGAAGAGGCGAACTATAAAGCCCAATTCACATTATAAAATTTTTCATTCAACATCATTGAACGAAAAGTTGGATGGAAAGTTGGACGCAAAAAAAGTTGATTCCATTACCGTTGCAGTGTGATATTGTCGTCAGCCTGCGGTTCGCGAAGATACAGCTTCGGCTCATGTCGGCCGGAAGATATCGTTCCAACTTTTCGTTCAACTTTGCATCTGGCGCCAATTGAATAGAGAGTTGAACGAAAAGTTGAATGTGACACATTCAAGTTTCCGTTCAATGTTTCATCAAATTGTCGTTTTCTGTCGTCAGTATCTTGCTATCCAACTTTTTATTCGAAAAGTTGCGTCCAAGAGTTGGATGAAAAGTTTGATAGTGTGAATTGGGCTTAATACGTTCTACCAATTTTCGTCTTTACTTTATTTTTACATTTAGGTATAGTTTTTTTCCAAATTGTTCTCTAGATGATAGCGTAAGTAGGTGCCTGAATAAATAATGTAAACTAAAATCAAAATTAAGGGCGATGAACAAATATAATTAAAAAATTAAATCGAAAATGTTATTATTAACAAACAATATAAATATATTAATTTTGTAGTGAGAAGAGAGGAACTTCATAAAAGATAACTTTAAAAAAAGAAAGAAAAAAAAAAAAAAGGATTATTTTGACACGGGATAGGTCATAATGAACTCTTTAGTTCACAATCTGCATGAGGAATTAGCCCACTTAGGAGCTCCTAGCTTATACAAATGTAGTAGGTAAAATGAGGTGACGTAAACGTTTTGGTGAAAAAATTAAATCCATACTGGGATGTCTGCCAAAATAGTGTCTAAGCATAAATGGACTGCATTTTGCAATTTGAAACTATAAATTCTAGCCCGGTTTAAAAACACCGTAGTTGCAATTAGTTTCCCTACGCACCTAAGTCTTTTTCCAGAAGAGCCAGAATTTATAGTTCCAAATTGCAAAATGCAGTCCAAATGGTGCTTGCAATACTTTAGTCCGAAGATGACAAGGTAAGGAGGAAATTTCCGACTTTGCCAAGTCGTTCACTGTGATTTTTTAGTTTACTTCAATGCGCCACAACACTTTTTGTTGCTCCAGCTGAAATTTACGATGGACCCATGAGACTCACGTTTTTTGTTTGTTTCAGGAAGGATGATGTAAAAAAAATGTGTACTAAAAGGATCTCAGGAGAATACACATTTGGAAGATTATTTTGTCCGGTTTGTTTCACCGACATCTTGAAGCCAGAGGCTAAAGCTGAAGTGACCCGCTGCGGCCATATTTTTTGCTACGACTGTATTGAGCAGGTGAGGTGAATAAAAGATTTGAGAACAAAACTTAAAATACTCTTTCCTTTACAGAATTTAATTTGAATTAAATGCAAATGTGTTCAAACTTTAAAAACCCTTCGACCTGTAAAGAGACAGGGAAACTTCTTTCCTCCCTTTTCTCTTCATGATGTGTCACAGAGTAATTACACATTAGAAGAAGTGACACACATTGTGACTAAAGTTCTATTTTTAGATTTTCTGTTTTTAATGTTGTAAATTTACAATTAAAAAATTTACATAGACATTGCTAGGCTACTTCAGTCTTTACAAATTTGTTTTTATCATAAAATAATCATCAAATATAAAGATTGATTTCGCTGAGATTTCCATTTCATACTGCTGAAAAGTTTTACTTACTATACTTTATTTTACTTATTTAACTAGCTTTAATTTAGTCTGTGAGGAGTTTAGCATAGTGTAAACCCAGTACTATTCTACCATCCAATGTCTTATAGTTAAAGAACCATATTCTTATTTATTTATTTATTTATTATTTTTTTTTTTTGCTATATTAAAGTCTTCACTGAATTATCATGAGAAAATTGAAATACCTTAGGCAATTTTTACTTTACATTAGTGTCTGTTTATTTCCTTCAGGTGATCCGTCGTGACAGAAAGTGCCCGACATGCAGAGAGTACATAGGTGCAGGCTTTCATCATGCAGTTTACTTTCCCTTGGTAGAGGACTCATAACGCTTTGCACATATACTCCACGTACTATTTTCCTGATAAGTTTAAACTGTGGTTATGTGTATGTTTAATAATTTATTTGATGTGTTTACCTCGTAGATTGTTACCTATATTCTTTGTCATTTTCTATTTTACGATCTTTGATAAATAGTTTTTATAATGTAGTTACTAGGTCCGTTAAATAAGTCCTTACCTATTAGATTGTTATGTTTCTTATCATTTTCAATTTTACAATCCTTGATGAGTAGTTTTTTTAAATGTAGTTACCAGGGCCGTTCAACAAGTCTTTGGGTACACCCCCCTTGCCATTTTCACAAAATCGTTTATTTTAAAAACACTACAGATATTTAGAAAGCTTAGGATATACCTGACAAGTCTGCACAAGGTGCAACTCAATTCATACATTTGCACCTAAATGCAGGGTGCTTACAACTTTTTAGTATTCAAAGTTTTCCGCCGAAAATGGGCAGTGCCTACTTTTGTGCCATTCAATGTGCAAGTTTTCTCTTTTGAGAAGATGACTTAAAAATATGGAACTTAACAAAACCATTACTTCATCGTGTGAAGCACTTCTTTCAATATTCTGCTTAATGTCTCGACTTCTATGCACATCTAATGGAGGGGAATGAGTGCTACAATGCCACTTGAAATCATGTTCTCTCTTCAACATACTTCTCGCTTGTGGCTCCAGTGGCAATGAAAGGTCGAGAGTTTTTATTACATCCGTCATATTTCCAAATTTGGCTCCTTTAAAATAACATTCCACCTTCAATTAGTGGACGGAACTTGATAAAGTACATCTAGAATAAACAGAATAAGTAACTGTGCACACTTCTTCTTTGACGCTGGACATCATATTTTCTACCACTCTAAATTGGAAGGAGGTGATCTAAAGAGTGATAGAAAAGCTTCTTGTCATGAGAAAATGGCTTAATTTAAGTTTTGATTTAATTTGCTTTTACTTTTTGTGCTAGATTTCTGCCAACAGTGGCAAGAAAATATTGCTCATTTTTGCAGGAGACCTAATGTGCAAAAAAAACTTGAGCATCTCCCATTCAGGTGCAAATGCAAGAATCAAGTTGCAGTTGGTGCAGGCTTGTCACGCATATTCTAAATTTTCTAAACATCCTTGGTTTTTGAAATACTACAATATAAAAACTTTGATAAAATTTTGTTCCTTTAGTTTTTAGAATCCCTTTGAAGTTTTAATGTTTTGGCTTTGCATGAAAAAGATTTAATTACCTTTAAATATTTTGCAGAATTTTCACCTAATTGTAAAAATAACACAGTAGTACTTTGTGGGTAGGACATAATTATGCTAAAAAGAGCTATGTTGCGCACAAACCCTATTCAAATAGTTCTCTGTGGCTTAAATAAATCCTTGTGAAAACGGGGAGGTCACTATTTTGCATGAATTCTGTTCAGTGAACGCAAAGGCTTTTTATGTATACTGATAATCCTATATGAATTTGTTTCACAGGACTTATTGATCTTTTTGTGTATGTTTGGTTGTAATCGGAGAGTAGACAGCTCCTTGTCAAATCCACTCTTAAAATTTTTTAACCATATCATGTATTGAATTGTTGTGTTCATGTGTTTTGAGTCACAGGCTCAATTTCATCCAAAAGATTTTCATTGAGACACATTTGATGAATAATATTTTTTCATTCAATTGATGTGATATGTATGAATTAATGAGCAATGAAATGAATTTTTTATATTGATTTATATTTTATTGATAATAATAATGATGTCTAATTAAAATGAAAACCTTCATGAATAATAACAAGTAGCTTATGTTCCCTTATTCCTTTATCTGAAACATTGTTACCAGCATATCAAGTGTAAAACAAGATATCTCCATTTGCTCACTTCCTGTGGCTCTTTAATTTTTCTTTGGAGAACTTGGCATCACAGTATGTTCCGAACTTCCTTGATTTTTCTTCTCTGTTGGCAGAATATTCTGTATTTTCAAGATATAACTTGGCTTGTTTCTCTTCAAAAAATAAGGAGTGGAAATTTTGAGACACTGTGATAAATATACATGGTTTCGCATTTTGACCAATAATATGTTAACAAATTCTTTCACATTTTAAAAAAAACAAAAGATTTTCTCAATCACTAATCAAATTTTGCAACAGTTGAACTAAATACAAGGGTCGTCCAGAAAGTAAGTTTACCTGTTCAATATCTCCTAAACTAAGATAGGTAAAGAAAATCCGTAAAAATCATTCAAAAGCCACTACTCTCAACTCTGTAATGCGCTATTTGGCTCCATAAAACTATAGAAAGAAGGGTTTTTCTGCACCCATCTCCTCTCCGCACGGATCCAAAATTTTATGGAACTTCATTCGCAAGTGAACGGCTGTGTTTATCGCTTTTGGCAAGAAAGCGGCTTAGAAGTGGTTGAAATACATGTAAAACATAGGTATTTTCCAACAAGGAAATAGCAAAGTCAGCCGTGCTTGCTTCAGAATCAGTTGCATCGGAGCAAAAGTTCGCAAAATTTTCAATGTAAATTTCACTAACTGAATCCTTCATAAGAATTCAAATTATCGTACCTGTTCTTGAAAAAATTTCGTCAAAGATGCACGATTTGGAAAAATATGCAGCTTCTACAACTCTTTACCATACATGAACCTGAATTTGAGCAGCTAGGGTCACCTTTCTTGGCAAGAGAACGAATAATAGAGCTTAATTCAGACACCAAAACCAAATTCAGCTTTAGAACTCCAGAAGTTGACTAAATGTAGCTTAACATTTCCACGTACTGCAGTTCGGACCCACCAATAATCAAAGTAAACACGGTCAATCCTGCTAATTCCTTGTTGGAAAATGTCCTCACTTATGTTTAACACGTGTTTCAACCACCTCTAGGCCACTTTTTTGCCATGCGCAAATGACACAGTGGCTCACTTCTGAATGAAGCTGCGTAAAATTTTGGATCCGTGTGGAGAGGAGGTGGGTTCAGAAAAACCCTTCTTTCTAGAGTTTCATGGAGCCAAATAGCGCATTACAGAACCGAGAGTAGTGGCTTTTGAACACTTTATACGGATTTTCTTTACCTATCTTAGATTAAGAGATATTGAACAGGTAAACTTACTTTCTGGACAACCCTTGTATTGCATTGAGCTATGCCAACAAATTCAATTTTCAGCCCTACTTTCCTTAAGATTGCCGGGGAGAAAGTTCGATTTTAAAAGATCATTGTGCTGAGGATGCCATAGAGAGCACCATGTCAAAAAATATCGAAATTTAGTCTATGCTGAATTTCTTGGTATTGCGTGCGTAGTCCTTGGTGCAAATTGCTTACTTCTCAAGGATTTATTAACCAAAATACTGGTGCAGGCTAGGTTTAATCAATTCATCACTGTCAACTCTTATGACTTACAATGCAAGAAACTCTTTTCTGCTTCATTATTGCCATGGATGCAGTGATGGTTGATTGAAAAATAACATTATGGTGAAAAAATGATGCATCTGCAAAGTTTTATGTGGGTACGTAACAATGTAATATTCATTATTCTTATTTCAAAAGTGAATGTAATTTTCTTTTTCTTTGTTTTATGAAATTTCCTTAAAAGTCTTGCAATTTATGAAATGAAATGAGGCTAAAATTTTGTAACAAGAAAAGGGCATTGATTACATGAAACCATGTAGTATAAAATGTACAACTTTACATAATCTCTTGATTCCTTTGATTCAAATGTGTTTCTTTCCAAGAGCATTAATTTTAACTCAAATCTATTCCAGCACTTGTTATATGATTCCAAAAAACGAGCTTGTGCCATTTTATCTATATGTGAAATAATTAGTTAGTGAGTTAATTTATTTAAAGACATTCAGCATCTTAGGCTAATAGGTTCATATTCAGATTCACATTCATGAAAAACGCCTTGGATTGAGGAGGGATGCAAGAAGTCCTGCTGAACCCTACCTTTTTATACCACCTCCTTATTCCACCTTTAATACCTTATAAAGAAATTTTCCCGAGGATAGACATAATTTAAAAGAAAAAAGAAAAGAAGTTCAAAAGAGAAGCATACCTTGTTTATAAATTTTGACAAATATAATACAAACACAGATAGTACTTCCTTTGGTGCCATGAGGATATTAAGGAGCCAGTTGATCGGAAATTTCATATACTACTTTTGCATTCTTCTCATACCTGTGCTGCAATATTCTTCTTATATTAGAATTCACATTGTGGAACGAAGTCTTGGTCCTTACAGATAACTGCAAACGAGAAAAAAACGAAATTACATGCTTATACTAGGAAAAAAAAAATAAAAAAATAATTTAAAAAAATAGATTAGATTTATTTTTGTTTTATACCTTTACCATTGCCACAAAATGGAAGATACTGCTTTGTCGATTCGACAAAACGATCATACCAGGCTAGAGATCGAAACTGTGGAGCATACTCTGTTGCGAATAATAAATTTTAAGAAGTTCGAATGATTGTGACGTTTCAGAGTGCATTGGCAGAGCAAATTGGATAAAAATAAACTGATGATTTCTATGTAAAAAAATTTGCATATAAGATGATCCTAAAGTCCCACACCACCCCTATAGCCTGTACTTAAGGTTTTTGCCCTTGTCATAGTGGTCCTCCTAAAATTTTGAGGGGTCCAAAAAGTTATTTCCTTCAACCTAGGAGCATTCAAGAAAGAAGTCTTTATCTAAGGTTGTTCAGAAGCTATAGAGGCTGTGCAGTTTTTTGTCATTTTGGGAAATCCTGATGAAATCCTGATTTTTCCTGATTTTAGACTGCTAAATCCTGATTTCATAATTTTTTCAAATCCTGATTTTTAGCGGAGAAAAAGAGACGAATGTAACTTCACAAAAATAGCTGGGTAAAAAATCTGATCGGACAGCCGACTTTGCTCAAATCCTGATTTTACAACCGATTTTCCTCAAATCCTGATTGGCCGTAAATCCTTATAGAATCGGGAAAATCCTGATGCTAGACACCCTGTAACAGTGAGTAATGGCTGTGCAAGCTGATGGTGCAAGACTTTTGGATCATCCTGTTGACAAAATCTGGATATATATGAGATTAAATATTGATCACTATTTCATGATCAGCTCACAAAGTTCACTATAATCCTGCTAGGCCATTACTTTCAGGCCGTTTTACGTAATCCTCTTTCTGGCGCTTCAAGTAGGTCGCTTCAAAAATTGTGCATTAACAGCTTACATACTGGACTCCATCTAACACATCAGGCAAGTTTTGTGGCTGCCAAGAAAATTTACGAGAGGGTAGGTAAAATTGCAGAACTTTCCATAATTTTCTTCACGTTTTTTCAATAGATTATAGGATACTCAAAAAATGGCTAAAAATAATAATGAGTTCGAGGGACTGAGAGGCATTTTTTTTAATGACTTTGTAGTTTGGAAAGGGTGGATATAAAATGCAAATAGTAGTAAGCCAAGTGATACAATTTGAGCTCATGGCAGACAATGGTTTTTGAATATTTCTAGCCAATGCAATCTTTTAATTCACTTTAAGACTATGTAATTTTATTCATTTTAGTAACGTTGAACATAAGCTATTAAAATAAAGAGAAAGTACCTCCATTTCTTGGAGAAGTTTGACTTCTAAATAATTATTTGTGACTAAACTGATAACATCACAATTTTCTGGACTACCAAGACGACCAATCCTCCCAACGCGGTGAATGTAGTCAGAGATGAAGTAAGGAAAATCATAATTGACGACTCGCTTTGCCTGGAAAAAGAAAAAAAGACATCAGAAAGAACAAAAAATTGGAAAATCCACCAATCACAACATTAAGTGTACATCATAGAATGGGTTCAAAACAGTATTTAAAAGAAAAAAGTTAGTGGGAAACAATTTAAGTTAAGTTCAATTTACCATGCCAATGGGCCAGTTGCGCTGGTCCTAAAATTGTGTTCTGATGCTTTAGTCTTGTAGCTTAGCTAAAAGTGATAAGATTCGTCCAAACTGCAACTTTCTAAGTTCAATATTAACTGAGATATCGCCCTTTGAAAAATCAGGTTTTTGACGTCATCCACCGCAGTACTGACACCTGTGGTTTCTTCCACCTTGCTTTCATCAGTCAGTGACGCATTGGTTACTCAACACGAGTTTTGGATGAAAGCAAGGTGGAAGAAACCAAGGGTGTCGCTACCGCGGTGGATGACGTCAAAAACCCGACTTTTCAAGGGAAGATATCTATGTTAATATTGAACAAAGAAAATTGCAATTTGGGTAGATCTTATTATTTTCAGCTTATCAACAAGAATCAAGCATCAAATTACCATTCTGTGCCCAGCCCAACTGATCCATTAACACAATTCTTTGGGTGGTAGATCTAAATAACATATATACAATAACACATAATGCAAACTGTATTTTTGAAGTTGCCACCGGTTTTTGTGCACGTACAAGAGCAAGAAAATGCCTTCCTCAATAGCTACTGTGAAAATTAAACTGGACAAAAAAATTCCTGTTGACTTAATTTAATGAACACTAAAGGGTCAAGTGAAAGAGGTTAGAGGTAGAGGTAAAAAGGTCAAGTGTAAGGAAATTTAAAGTAGGAGATTGATTCATTGGCTCTTGGTTTCATTACAGACTTAACCAGACACCACTGCTTATGGAGGTTAGTTTTACACTATTTGCTGCGGCAAACAAAACAAAATGAAACATTTTTCAATGAAAGGACTAAGTTCAGCGAAAGTAACACGAAATTCGGCGCCAGCTAAAGTTCGAGCTGTTTTGATAAGATGCTCTTTACGATCTCCTGAGTGAGATCAGCTTTTAAAATCGAACTTATTATGTGCCAATTTTGAGGAAATCAGGTCTGAAAAGTGCATTTTTTGGCAGTTTTACACACATCATGAAGAGTGAAAACGTAGGAGATTAAGGAACGAGCTCCTCTCTCTTTGTCTTGAGCCAACCAAGGAAGATGAAATGACTCAGTTCAAAATAAAAGGCTCCCAATCTTTGACTCTCTAAAATTCTGTTTCTATTCCTTCATAGTGTACAATTCTATCTTTAGAAGTTTCTAAGACCAAAAATGAAATATAAGGTGTATTTTTATAAATGAATTAAGGGGCTACGCCTCTTGATCACTTCCAGGTTCAACCCCCCTCCTTTTGTGCTTCAGGCGTTATATGTTGCTCATATGATTTTATATTGCGTAGTAGAATAGGACCCTATCAGTAGAGATAATTTAGTTCCATGTAAGATGGACGCCATTTTCTTTCCTGCCTACTCTCTGCAAATCGAAAAATCTGCATTTTAATATTCTGGAGATTTTCTTTGATCATTTCTCACCTCTGATTGGCTGAAATATTTGTCGAAAATCAGCATCACTTAGCAATCACTAATTCAAAAATCGAGTCTTAATTGATGGCCCAAATTTGCTTCACAGAGGAACTAGTAAAACTGAAAACAAGAACTGGTTTATTGTCTTGGAAAGAGAACAATGACACAGATCTTTTTTAATTTTACATGCTGCATTCATTAACACATTGTACTGCTTTGATCCAATTTATCTTAAATTCTTTTTTGCCTGTCTTTTCCACAAATGATACTGTTTTTGGAGAAATATTAAATATAAAACCTCGGTAATTTCAATATAATTATCAATTGGGGGATAGTTTTGAAAAGCACAACATTTAACTCACTCTTCTTGTGTCTAAACCTCTGGCGCACAAGTCTGTTGTTGAGATGAAGTTGACTTCACCATCTTGAAACATTTTGAATCTGCCATTGCGCAGTTCTGCTGGCATGTCTCCGTGTAAATTTACGCATTTTATACCATTATCATTTAGGAATATGTTAATCCAGTCACATGCTGGTGTCTTGTTGCTGGAAAAACAAAACAAGAAATTGTCACATTGATTACATTGGCGAGTATGTGGCTTTTGAATCATACTGGTAGAGGGAAGATGTATCTGTATCTGTGATAGAACTTTCAAGTTAGCGTAACAACAGATGATGGACCGATAGATAAGATATGTATATTTAAGCATCCTGCTTCATGTTTCCTCTTCAAAATATCAAGTAGAACAAGATTAAAGCGACAAATATTACAGAAATTAACTTCTAATCAAAATATTAATGTTTTTATTTAGCACTGGTTACCAAAATTTTACTAATTTCCTACTTACAAGAGAAATTAGAGAGGAAAAGACACTAAAATTGTAGCCCGGACTTTAAGTAAGAGGATGGTAGAATAATGCCGGGTCCACACTATTCTGTAGGAAAATTGCGGCCAAGAAACTCCAGATATTTTCTTTGCATTCAATCTTCGTGAATCTAATGATTTTTGGAGTTGGCAACTCCTGCAAAAAATAAAATCTAGGAGTCACAAGGATCGCTCATTTTTGTTGCAAGAAGCTTTAAAAAGATGAAAAATCCCATGTTTATTATGGCCAATGAAGTTGAATCAAACAGACCGGAGAGTTGCTGGAAAATTTTGCAATTTGTGACAGTTAACATATGATTTTTTCATCAGATTATAATAGCCGCCTCTGATTTTGCTTTAATGTAGATCTTCAAGGCTGTAAAAATGTATTAAATATCAGACAGATAAGCTGCTTTTCTGAGAAGAATTTTGTATTTCATATTTTACTCACGAAAAAATAATAGTCGGTAATTTTCTTTGTTGGGCCTCTTTTGCAAATTTCAAAAGGTACGATGGTTTATCAGATTTATTTGTCCTGTAAAAAGTTTGCTTGACATGTGGCATTATAAAATGGAGCCCTCTGGTTGTGATTTGTTCCACATTTTCCAACTGAAAGTAAATTAATGCAAAAATATTATATCTCCTTTCACTTCAAAAATTTTTCCAGCTCTATGAAAGTTCCAGGGGTGAGGTCAGGGGCAGAACCTACATTGCTTTCTCTGAGCCGTTAGGCTGCGAGAACAGGCCCTTCTCTTTCCTCAAGGAAAATTAATGGAGTCTGTGCTTTGATATTTTTAACTGAGTATGCTGGATGGAGAACATATTTAAAATGTTTGATAAATAAGAAAGAGAGTCTACAATAAGGTCAATCTTAACTTATGAATTTACAGAGAATAAGAAACAGGTTTTACTTCAGATTGCTTCAATAAAATTTATAATTTCACAAGGCCCACCTTTCAAGGATTACGAAAATTTAAAAACTGGTGCAAGACTCTAAAATCACTAATGAATAGGTTTGGTTACAAAAATAGGATGACGAAATTGAACAGTGCCATATCATCATGGCGAAAACGTTATCCATCAGTGCCGTGACAGCTTGCTTTTTGGCTTAAGAATGTCAAGGCATAGAGAAAAAAAAGGAGGTGTTTGCATTTCGGGCATCTTGGAATTTTTTGATGACTTGATGACGTAGGTGGGTACAGTGTGAAGGGGACGTCCCTGTACCCAGCTGTACCCACCTACGTCATCAAGTCATCAAAATATTCCAAGATGCCCGAAATGCAAACACCTACTTTTTTTTCTCTATGATGTCAAGGTACTGAACGTCTTAAAAATTACATACAGTATGTTTTTGGTGCTTTTGATAAAATCAGTGCCAAAAATACTAATCTTTTATCGCAAAAATATCAATACACAGATGGTTTTACATGATTGTTTTCATAGTCCGAGAGCCACTTGATATTTAGCGGCAAATCGAGATTCAAGTTTGGACAACTTAAATCGATAGCCTTGTAGGCAATGACACAGAAAATGGTCGTCTACCACGTTTTAGCATGTACCATCACGTTTTAGACAACAATTTTCCCTGTTAAGACAGAAAGAAGTGGTCAAAACTTGTGTTGCGATTTTGTCACTGAATACCATCTGGCTCTCAGACTAAAAGTCAGCTAATATCTTCAAGAACTTTGGTATTTCAAACATATTTCAATTAAAGTAGCATGGGAAAATTTCTGGAACTTTCAGATAATAGATTTGTGTATTATTGGACAAATTTTACATGAGCTAAGGTATGGAAAACTGAAACTTTGTCATCAGTAGCAACAGCTAATAATTTACTTTTTAAAGGCTATCATTTTGTACTGTCAGAAATATTGATAGCCAAAATGCGAAACCACATAACAACAGTGAAGCTGCAAAAATATGAATCTCGTTTGCCAGGTTTCAAAATCTCTGCTTCTATTGCATTTTTCAAAAGAGGACAGAACCAACATCATGGCTTGAGGTTTTCACAAAATAATTTTTATTACGGAAGAAAAGTCACTGAAATTTTCGAACAATGACATTCAGTAGTTTTCCACGTAGAAAATAAAGTATGACAGGAAGTCTGCTATGCTGCAAACCGAGATACGCGTTTCAGCAGTTTCACCATTGGTGTCTCCATTGCGGTAATTCAAATTTTTCTCATATTTTATTTTTTTAAAGTGAAAAAAGTCGATTTTACAGCTTGAAATTTATACAGAATATTCAACTAACGAAAAAGAAAAATCAAGGAAATTTCAAGAAATCATGTTGACAAGTTTTTCAAAGAAAAATAAAGTATAAAAGGAAGTCTGCATTGTCAAAAACGGAGATATGCAGTTTAGCACTCTGGCCTTCGATATGTAAATTAACTTTTTACATGAATAATTTTTTGACTAACAATAAAGATAGCTAGAGTTAAATTGGCTGAACTTACATCAACTGTATCAATTAGAAGCTGTGACAGGCTGGTGGGCATTGTGGCACTAGCAAAGACCATTTGAGAACCAAGATCCTTACGATACGAACTAGATGTAAACTGTGAAAAAAAAACCATTAATATAAACTGGATACTGATACCAAGAAATATTTTAAGGATGACTCTTTATTCTTCACCTTGCAACAGAGTGGACTGTTGATGAGAGACATAGAAGAATGCTGTTTTCTGGCCTAATGGCACCATATAATACAGTGATTAATAAACTCATTGATTTCATCATTATACTCAATATCTTTCCAAATCATATGAGGGTCTTGGAGGACAAAGTGCATAAGAGCAGTTTCTGATAAAAATGAGATATTAATTATTCCAAGTAAAACTAGTCTCCAAGCATACTCTGTGAAAAATTCGCACTCGAATTCCAATTTTAAGCATGAACAGTACTAGACAGTTTTTAGACAGTTTGAATGTTCTTTCCACCACAAGAATCCATGTTATTTCGAAACTTTGAACACAAATTTCTCTAATGATAGCCATTTGAATAATTGATGATTGGTCACAAAATAGGTCTGCCAAGGCTTTTACGATAGCTTGACGCTTACCATTATTTTAATCTTAAAAATTAAACCTTGGTACTAAATCTTATCAATAAGTAAGTTTGCTAGGATAGGTTACAACTCACTCTGCAAATACACAATACAGAAACAACTTAAAATGGGACTAAGGCCGCAAAAAATAAAATAAAGACATAAAATAAAAAAAAACCCTAGGCCCCTTCCTTCTGGGCCTAGATGGAGCTGGAACACCTGAGTAATCTCTCTTTTGATGTGCTTTGTTTCCAGTACACTAGCTCATTTATTTTGGTTGCACTATCAATATCAAAATAACAGCGGAGAAGCTCATGGTGAGTTTCTTTCCAATTTTCTTTCTTTTTTTGCTAGTTGAAAATGCAGGTGTAATCACGACGAAACGTCCCGGGTTTCTTGTTTTATGTCTTTATTTTATTTATGGTGGCCTTAGTCCCATTTTAAGCTGTTCCTGTATTATCATTTCCAATTATGTTGTTTTTTTAACGACGAACACATAATGTATTAGCCATCAAGAGTTCACAAAAGAGTGAAAACTAAAAACACAGGTAAAAATTGGTCAAGTCACGACAAGGGCAATGAAACAGACCTGGAATCGTCTCAAAAAATAAAGAAGTAATTCATTAAAACTGTCATCTAATAGTGTATCAGCTTCATCTAAAACAACATGTCGAATATTCCGCATCGAGCAAATACCTTAAACATAAGAGATAAAAAAATTACGCACAACAATAAAACTACATTCGAATGAAAATGATCCTAAAATATGTACAACTGAGGCAAGTAAGAAAAGTCAAACTAAAGACCTGACAATTTTCTTGCCAAAATCCTCTTCCTCTGCATCCATTTTTTATCCTATTTCTCCTTTTTTGGTGATGGACAGAAAGACTGAACAAGAGGGTTTGTTTTTTTACGATTCTTATAAAGAATTTTTGGTTTCAAGAACCTAGAAAATGTATGATTCATACAGAATGGGTCACTAAACCATGAACGAATTTTGACTTGCGAATATAGTTTTCTGAAGGAAAATGACGCGTAAAACACGATGCGCACATTAAAAACGCGAACAAGTAACTCAATGACCGAGAAATTCGCAGATCAAATCGCTTAACTTATACGCAAATTTAAAACGCCCCAGTTTCGCGCCGCGCCGAATGATGTCATCCGGCACCAATCAGAAGCGGGCACAGGTTTCCACAACTTCCGTTAAATGTCTATCTACTCTTCGTATATGAAAACAATACTAAAGTCGAAATTATATCTTTTGAATTCAAGACTTGAATCTCATTCATATGTTAGCTGTAATAAACGAGCAACAATTCCACATTGAAACACGTTTTATTTTAACAAACATCAGAGGAAAATGAGAGAAAATTGCGATATGACTACCGCAGTGCGTCAACACCGTCAGTTTCCCGCCATTCGGGTGCGTTTGAAATGTCTTGCAGTTTTTAGATTTTTCAAAAGCGGGTTTCTCCGCGATTTTGGCTCCATAAAAATGCGGAAAAATCACCACGTTATCTACTCACATTGTACTTTCAGAATATTCAATAAAATAAACAAGGTTTAGTGACCCATTCTAATGAGAGATTTCTGTTTGAGAGTAAGTCCTTACGAGAGCTGACATTCATGGCTTACGGATTTTTAAAAATGTCATTGTTACTTACGAGTTGTTGTGAACTTGCTGAGAATTCCCAAGGAGGATATCATGAGATCAACAGGTTCAAATTTTGCGTTTAACATTTTCTTCTTTCCACGGCCGCCAGTCAAAACTTGAACATCAAGATCCAGCTCAGAAGAAAACCAGGAGGCGACTTCCTAGGTTGAAAAAATCAAGAGAAAAAATGCTTCAAAATAATTTTTTTGGCACTAATAAAAATACGTAACATAGCCAAAGATGTGCTTTCTCGACCATCAAAAGCTATTAACGATTGGGATATTCAACTTATTTCAAAGTTTCTTACGCTTTTCTACATCACAAAGTGAAGGCTCATGAACAGCCTCTTTTAAATTGGGTTACGTAGGTTCTATCGATGGTGAAACTGCAACAATGCTTATCTTGGTTTTTTGCATTGCAGACTTTCTGTCATTGGCATTTCTGACCGACAATCATTATTTTAATACATTGGTGATTTGTCTTCTCTGTGTGAAGAATATTCAGTGAAAATTTCACGCCATAATATTTGTCTCATTTTAAAAAATAAAATAAGAATGGAGATTTTGAAATACCGCAACCATGGAAGGCATTTAGGAGCTTTCACTGGTGGTATTTAATGTGATCTTCTTTAAAGATTACTCATTACGGTACGAGTGAAAAATGTCAACATTAAAGAGATTTATTTAATAAATGACCCATTCAAGATTAAAGCAAGGCCTTTCAAAATTGCAAAGAAAGTAAAACTCACATAGATTTGCTCAGCTAAGTCACGTCCAGGGGTGATGATAAGCCCGATTGGAGCATTAATTGTATCCAATTCCTTTGAGGTACGCTTCAAGTGAAGAATCTGCTGAATGATTGGTGCAAGGTATGCGAGTGTTTTGCCACACCCTGTTTCTGCTGCTATCAGACAATTTTTGCCCTCTAAAACATGCGGAATGGCTCTGCTCTGGAACATTATGGACAAGGCAGATCGTAAATAAAACCAGATGGCAAAAAAACAAAAAAAAAGGCACACTATTTGGATTATCCAAACTTCAGACTGTCTGCATTAATCTTTGAAGAGGACTGATTTTTTTTACCACCTTTTGTTGCACATACTTTTACTCTTGAAGGAATCCGCTAAAAAGGTTTGAGCAAACTCGGAAGCTAGAAAAATTACTGTTAGCGGTTATTTTCTTGAAATTTTACTTGTACATATTTAATATGACATTTTATTGCAAATTTGGTTTTATTTCAGCTTGTTTTATAAATACAGGGTGTTGCATTCAGCTAGTCTAGTGACCCCTGCAGTATCCGATCTTTCCATTATTGGAACAAGCAGACTGTTGCGATAGTTGAGATATGTAATCTGATGAGTACTGCTCATGAAAGTGAGGGGAGTGACATCATGCCCGTTACATTAGGGAGGGCCAGTTTGATTGAAATAATTGTTGACTCTTTGTAATACTTCCTATCAAGATTTAAGTTTTTTTCTAAATAAAAAGGAAAAAAGTAGTATTCCTTCGATGGAGTTTCCATCTTAAAAACACAACAAAAAATACCCTGGTTTCTCCTCCAAGACAAAAAATATCCCCTGGTTTCTTGTTCCACTTTTTTACTATCCATTACTTATTTCCTTGATTTTTTCCGACAGAATACATAATTTTTGGTCTTCGAAGATTTCCTACTAATCACTAGCGTACTGTCACATTCTGCAAATCAGTCAGATGCTTCGACTTCAGCTGCTGTTTTATAAGAGGTTGAATTAAAGAGGAAGAAAAGATAGAATGTTTAATAACAGTTAACTCAGTCATTTCAAAAAGCAAGCAAATGGAATTAGATTTTTCAAGGGAGACTAAAAACTACTGAGAGGTTGTGAAGTAACAAAAATATTTCTTTGAAGGAATGGCTGATTTAGTTAATAATTTTTGATCCTATTTATGTGACTAAAGGAAGAATAAGAACGTTCTTTTAGGAGTGTCATTGACATTGAACTGAAAATAAAACTTACTTGAATCTCTGCGGGTTCTGTGATACGATGCTTGGCGAGAACATTTATTAATGCTTCATCGAGCTTCGCATCTCTGAAGGTTAATGGCTCCTTGTCCGATACAACTTCGAAGTCCTAAATGAAATAATTCAGTTACATTGCATTTAAGTTATCAACACAACAACTATTTTAGTAGGAATAATACTAGGCTTAGCAGCTGGTTCAATTGGTATTATAGCTAATCTTCCTACAAAAAAATTTCATGAAATTTTGATGTGAAACTTTATTTTGTAGTTTCATGAAATTTTGCATCTCTGGTAGTACAATTTTCTGTTTTAATTTCCTAGGGGTTACAGTTCCCCGAACTTTCATCACAATCGAAGGCAGACACTAAGGGGCTCCTTCTTGTCAGTCAAATCTTGCGCATGAATACTTGACACACTTAAGCTTGATAACATGTTCAGGGATTTATTGAAGAATGCCCCAAAAATCAGAATTTATCAATTGATCAAACAACAATAAAATCGATCTCCGAAGTGCTACAGAACTGAAACAAGCGTAATAATATAGCATTGGAACTAAGCAAAAAAATCTATTTGGACCTTCTTAATGATGTTTTCAAAGTAACCTTACAGAGGACACTGCTTAAAAAAAGATCCTAGCAGGTAGTGCGACATATATCTATTAGTCATATCGACGGTGAAAGTCGGCAATCACATAACTCGATTTTTGGCGGTTTTGAGTTAGCTGCAGAAATGAAGTGTAGAAGATGCCCTTTACCTGCTATCAAAATATTTCAGCCGAAAAAAATCTGGAAGTCACCTAAAAACGTAGAACTGAAAACACATATCTCGGCGTTAATTCCAATAACACATAACTCGCGCCGTCGCGCCGCATTTTTACACAACGCGCGCTCTCCCGCGAAGAACCGTGAGCAGTTTAGGAGGGAAAATTGAAAGTTATTACGTCACGGAATCTTCAAACAACAAAAATATTATTATTGTTTTAACATCTAACATCTAATCCGACGGATAACTGAGTAATTGTCCGCTTATTTTTATCTTCATTTCATTTTAATTCGTAATTTGACGGCGTGAAGTCCGGAATCACATAATGAATTATCTCGTTCACGGTGTTTGAAAATCTCCGCTTCTACGACACATTTGACATCATTCCTTGCAGTTTATACAGAATTTTCTTCGCATAGAGAAGAAAACTCACGGCAGTTTTAAAGAATTGCCGCTGAGTAGTTTTCCGTTTAAAAAATGAAGTGTGACAGGAAGTCTGCGACGTCGTAAACCGAGTTATGTGATTGCCGACTTACGCCGTCGAATCGTTTTCCAGTGTCATTCTAAAGATTCGCTACCAATTAAAGTTTGTTAAAAGGAACTTTAGGCTACTTTTAAAGTGAGAGGAGTCTTATTCAGTCTTTATTCAGTCAACATCGGCAAAGAATAGGTTTGAATCAGTAATTCGCCAATCACGTATCTCGGAATTCAGTGTTGGACCTTACTTCCACAAACACATAACTCGGTTTTTCAGTCATTTCTCCTGACAGACGAGAATATTATTCAAAATGATGATAGAGTCTTATAAAGCATCTTACCCTTGCTATCTCTAAGAATTATTTCCCCTCTACCTTCAAAGATGAGGAATGTAGAGAGTTTTTTCCCTCTCCTGAAAAATCGCGTTTTCCAAGTTATGTGATCGCCAACTTGCACCGTCGATATGGGATTTTGAAATGAAAATTATTTCAGTGATTATTTAAATAGCAGTTAAAAATGTTTTTTATTTACTCACGATTTTCCTTGATATCATTTGGGATGCTTTCACCATTTTGGGGAAACACAGAATTACGCTCCTAAAATTACTTAACAATTCCCTCTACGGCTTTGACATAATGAAAGTAAATTAAACCTTATGCTGGAAATTAAGTTTACCTTGGTATGGATTAGAATTGAAAAGTGGTCTCCTTTCGAGGCCGTTCGTCTCCAGCCTTTTGAGGCTAGTGGAATTTTCGTAAGGTCTTCATATTTTTGGTTTCTGTAATGATTTAACTCTGCCCGCTTACACTTAATTATGGGCTGAATGAACAAAAAGCAATAATTTGGAATACAATAAAATAAAGGCTCAAAATAATATTACAGAAGAATAACAGACAAAGTTTCAAGGAATGTATAAATTAAAGCAGTGGTGTAGCTAGGAGTCTTTGTCCCCTCCCCAACTATATGAGAAGCTACGTTTTTTTTCTTTTCTTTCTTCAATTTTTGCGCCCTTTGCAAAGTTTTAACCCCTTGCCGATGGGGACGGCTGAAGTAATATTTACAGCACCAATAAATTTGTGGCACTTCGGCAATCACTTTGAGGGGAGTGGTCAAACTTGCAAAGGAGTCTCCAGTGTGACATAGTGTTCCAAAAATGATTTAAAAGTTGCAGATGGTTGATACAGTGTATTCATACATACTATGCTTATTGCATTTGAAACTGTATTAAGTTCAAAATGAGACTGTACTGTTAAATATTAGTTATTTTGAGAGTTTTTCTCTGCTAGATTCTTATTCGAGATTTTAAGAATTGAAATACATACCTCAGCAGTACGATCGACTTTTGGTTTTTCATGTCTCCCAATAATGAAAGGGTTCTCTTCAGTTAATATGTTGGTAACGTTTGCAAATTTTGTCTGACTTGGATTGAAAGTCTTCGTGATCACAGAACTTTTCAAACGCGTCACCTGTGTGAAAGCATGTACGTACATTAATTGTTAGATTCAACCAAAAAATTATCGGATGACAATTTTGCAAGACGTTAGGGCTGAGCTTTGTCGAGGAAAATTTTAACGGTTACTCAATTTACTTAGATGTGACCAGTTAGAGAACTTGTGCTAAATGATACAATAACCAAGATATCCAGGACATTAAATAGGACCTCTTTTTAGACCTCAATAGTAGATCACACTCATTAGTGAACCCAACTTAGCATCCTTAAGTGTTTTTTTCTCCCCCTCTGGAACACATCAAGTATCCTCCTCTCTCTGTCACACCCTAATATATATGTCTCACCGCTGAGTTTCGTCCCTGCTGCAGATCCCTGATCTCTCTGCAATAAGCCTCTCCAAGTAATAACATTCAGTAATTTAATTTAGATCAAATTAAAGCATTATAAACCAGTCTAATAATTTCTTTCCCTGTGAAGTTTTTAATCTTCCATAACATGCTAATTTTGCCCCTAAAGTCTCTCGTTACTTTCACTACATACTTTGGCAATTTCAAATCATCAGTGAGATGAAGGTTTAGAGCATAATGTCAGAACCTGCATTAAGGAGTCACTTTGAGGGTCCTCCTAGGAAAGCTCAGAGGTATTCTCAGCTGAGTTGGCATTTTTTTACTCTCTCTTGATGACTGCATTGCAGATATCTTGCAGTGCCATGGTCAATCCTTGCACGCCGTTGGACACAAGACCAATCCACACAGGTCAGTCATTGCGCATCTTTTTGAAAGCCACTTCCCTGCCCGGCCCTAACTCGGCTGCACTCAATAGTACGTCACAATGGGTGCTCCCATGAGAAATACATTGCAAGCACTCAATAGTACGTCACTGCGCAGTAGAGTACCAAAACTTGTCCACGGGAATGACTGACCTGTGTGGATTGGTCTTGGTTGGACAACTGAAGCACAGACTCAGCTGATGAACTTCCAATACATATTTATGTTGATCCTTACAGGAAAACGAAATATTGATTCGAACTATAGAACAGCCTTTCCTCAAGATTTGAAATGTGACCTACCCATACTGAGTTGATCGAAGTCGCAGATAGCAGGAAGTTTGTTCCTTGGATAGACACTGGCAGACATGATTTGAACATAGTCGAAAATCTACAAAATGCGAGCGGGTAATCAGCGTGACTATATTCTGCTATGATTAACGTCAAGGCTTGTGTTACAAAACAGTTCCATGCTTCTCATGAGCTGGTGAACAACAAGATGGGATTACTTAAAATGTCAAATACAAAACTTGTCCACAACTCACTGCTGGTTGGCTCAAACTCACTGGCAGTAAAAATGGTTAACTGTTAAAAACCGAGAGTAGGTGTGACGTTAAAACGGTTCGAAAAAATCTGAAAAAATAAACTTTCCCTCGAGGATTGATAATTGTGGAATTTATGAGATTGATCTGGTTCTGATTCCAGAATCCGGCGTGTGAGAGAGCAGAGAACTGAGAAACATAACCTCAAACTCACGTTGTAAATAAAAGTTAAGTACCGACTTTGCAACATCAATCGTTCATCAGACGTCGGGCCAAAACTGGCCAAAAGGTAAAAAAGGTAAAAATGGCTGAGGTGAAAAGAATTTGTCACTTCAATCTTAAGTTTATTTTCGAAGAATTATTTCAAATTTCACGTCTTTTGAACATTTAAATATTTTAAGGTGAAGAAGGATTTATTTTTCTCGAGATTGGATGTAATTTTTGACTGATAATAACTTTCTTTTAATCAGAGTTGTAACCCAACACTTCATTTCAAAATTTGGCGGTTCAATCAATCGAAGGAGTGGGGGAAGCCGGAGGACCAATGACATTTAAGTACAGCACGAATTTTCTAGAACTATTTTCTAAAAACACGGCGCAAGCGTGAGAAGTGTTACAGGAACTATTTTCGTGTTCACTTCGTTTTCGTTATCCGCCGATTTGTCCGCATCCGCATGCTTCAAGTCCGTCGAACATTCTAGTTATAATTTCAATTTTGCGTATTCATTAGTCTTTTTCCTCTGAAAGTAATTCGCATTACAATTCGTCAAGTGTAGTTTTCAGATATCGATTATGTCCAAGGTACGTAAACTATTTACTTTTTTTTTCCGCCGCTTCCCTCATTGTCACCCCTCCGCCTATATGGCCTGCAACTTTAACCTATCCATCTCGTCTTAAAGCCTTCCTCTAAAAATCTCTTCGAACTCATTGAAGAGCCGCTACTTACAGCATTTTTCGTGAGTCCATCAGCACTTTTCCCCAATTTTCGCCTCAAAGGCCAGAATTTATAGGGGACCCAGTATTACGGCCATGTGGGTCCTCGGTGATGGCAATGGCAGTGGTGTTTCCCCCCCGCAACTGGTCAATCTTTGTTGATTCGGTTGTTAAGTGTTTTTAAATGCACGCTCATCGTCAATTTTCTAGGGAAGTAGTGAAGTCAATAGGCTGTTACCCTGCACGCACTTAGAACCAGTATCCAGCTTAACTTTTTCAGCAGTGAGGTAGCAGGTGTCCTTCACAGCTAGTTAAACTCAGATTTTTAGCGTAGAAACTGGCGATCAAGTATTTTAAAACTACCTCATAGATAAGGAGAAACTAATTTAAAATTAGAAATTAAACCTTCATTCCAAGGAATAGACTTACAACACAATCTAGATCAGTTATTAGGATATTCTGGCGAAATAGTAGACAATGCAGATAGCGTGTATTACCATCCAGCCCTCTCAAGGTACTGGATCAGCTATGCTACCAGCAGCCTTGAGTGCTGTTAAATTTCTCCAAACATGAACCATCCTTTGGCAAGCAGATGTGCAGCCATATTCCTATATTGGGCGAGACGCAGTACTGCCTGTAAACCAGGCTGTACAAACTCTTTGAAGACGTGTCTTTACCCCTCTAGCTGTCTCACCTCTTCTGCCCAAAGTTGGGCCTAGCGTGTGGTCTAGATTGTGTCGCAAGCCTGTGAGCATGGAGAGCGAAATCGCCTATACTAGCTTCAGAGAAGGAATTCACAGAACTGAGAATAGTAAAGAATGGAGAAATGTCACATCAAAAATGAGCACCATTCAACATAAATTTATGCAGTAACCAATAGGCGAACCTATGAACGACGCATTTAGAGGGCTTTTTTCTTTATCCGAACCAAAGTGGACAGCAACGGAACGCATTACTCTTTTATCACATTCCATTGGCGCGTTCCATGTTTTCCAGTGGAATGCTGAAACCACTCTTCCGAGGTAGGTTGAGATTGGTTCAGGCTGTTTGAACCAGCCCGAACTGCTACTATCGCGTTCCATAGATTTAAAAAAAAGCCCTTAGATTGAACGGACAATTGTCCATTACTATCTCTCAGTCCTCAGAGCGTGTATTTTATCTACTGTTCCTTCATTATGCAAGTGGCAAAAATTTTGTAATGCATGGCATTTGACAATCATATGTTGTACAGGTTAAATTAGCCAGAAAATGCCCGTCTGCTATTCACTGAACACATATCGACGGTGAAACTACCAAACCACGTATCTCGGTTTGCGATGTCGCAGACTTCCTGGCATACTTTATTTTTTAAATGAAAAACTACTTAACGTCCAGTCTTGAAAATTTCTGTGATTTTTCCTCTTCGTGCGGAGAAAATTCTGTGAAAATTTCAAGGAATGATATTAATTTGGTCTACTTCAAGAAAATAAAATGCGAGCGTAGATTTTTAAACACCGCAAACGAGATACGTGGTTTTGTAGTTTCACCGTCGATATGTTAACTGAAATACTTGCTCCTCAGGCTTATTGAATACCTAATGGTCCTTAAACTTTACCTCAGTCTGTTAGGGAGTCCTATCTTACCATAGAATCATAACTCCACCCCAGCTTGTATTGGTTTCATGACTATAGGCTCTTAACACACATTTCGAATGGCCTTTAAGTCACATTTTGTTGAGAGACAGTCTAGCCTGTAGCCTATCCTTCTGTAAGCCTATTTCTAGGTCTGGAATCTATTAACCTGCACCCCACTCTTGAATTGGGGAATTCCTTGTGGCTCTGCCCTTTCTGAGCTGGGAATTCCTTGATCTCTGTGTGATGTTGGTGCAGGCACAGTCGGATAGAATTTGTCAGGTGGAAGACAGTGTGAGTTTGTTCCTAATTTGTATTTCAACCACGAGGGAGTGATATTTATAGGGCAGTGAGGTGCTGCGCCTGACTAAAACCTATCATTGTTGAAAAGTGAAGGATGTCCATTGTGCTTAGTTCACTTGTAAGAAACCAATGTACTTTTCATCATTCAGATACATCTAGGTATGAGTTCAATTTTGGCTAAGTATCCCTAGAAAACCCCCAGAAACTAAAATGAGCATCTGGTAGCTTTTATTTTCAGTTTTCTCCACACCTCTTTTCCTCAGAAATTCAGATTGGTATCATGCAAGAAATAAACCTACTCATACCCTAATTTGTGATGTGTCATTGCAGGTGAATGAACTTAAGGACAAAGGTAATGCTGCGTTGCAAGCCAATAATTTTGTGGAAGCTCTCAAGTACTATTCGGAGGCCATCGAACTAGACAGTAGCAATCATGTTCTCTTCAGTAACCGCTCTGCAGCCTATGCAAAATCAGGAAACTACATTAAAGCCTTAGAAGATGCAGAAAAAACAGTTGAACTCAAACCTGATTGGCCTAAGGTAAGGCTTCTATTATTTGGCCAGTGCTCAAAGTTTATATTTGATCTAATTTTTATGGTGAGCAAATCACAATATGATTTGTCAAAGTGCGAATTAACTTGTCACATTGGGATCTGATTGGATTTCGTCTTCTGACAGAAACATATCTACTTCAGTATTGCTTTTGAAGCTGTTGCTAAGTTTTAATTATTCGAGAAGTTAATTTCTGAATGGATCAGCTGCGCTGGTCTTAAAATCAAGTTTTGATGCTTGATTCTTATTGATCAGTAAAAAATATTAAGATCTTTGCAAACAGCAATTTCCTACGTTCAAAATTAACAGAGATATCGTCCTTTGAAAAATTCAGTTTATGACGTCATCTACCGCCGGTAGTGACACCCTTGCTTTCATCCGAATTACTTTTTGAGCAACCAATGCTAATATGTATTTTCCTGACTGTTGAAAGCAAAGTGGAAGAAACCTAAGATGTTACTACCGTGGTGGATGACATCATAAACCGAATTTTCCAAAGCGCGATATCTCTGTTTTTATTCAACATAAAAAACTGCTGTTGGACAGATCTTCCTATTTTTAGTGAATTTACAAGAATCAAGCATCCAAACATGATTCTGTGGCCAGCACAATTGACCCATGATTTAATTATTAAATTCGGTAACTAAGTAATGGAATTAATGCCCCTAACTGTATGGAATACCAATAAAATTGTATTTTGTTTTTTATTTGCAGGGCTACTCGCGGAAAGGCAGTGCATTAGCTTATCTTAGAAGGTTTGATGAGTCAATAAAAGCCTACGAGGAAGGTCTTAAACTTGACCCGAACAATGCTCAGCTCAAAGAAGGACTCAAAGAGGTCAAAGACCAAATGGAAAATCCAATCGGCGGAGACCTCTCGGACATTTTTGCCGGGCCTTTCAACCAACCTGATCTTTGGGTGAAACTGAGGACTGATCCACGAACGAAAGGGCTATGTGACAACCCTGCTTACGTTAAATTAATTAATGACATCAAGAAGGATCCTAGCCTATTATTGTAAGTTTCTACATTGTGTCAGGCTTGAGATTAAGTAATCTAATATAATATGATGAGTATGATATGAAGTCAGTCTTTGTAGCTCAAGATAAAATTTTAAAAGGAAAATTCTACTCGCAAAGGTGATAAAGGGATGGAAAACTATTTTCTTAGCAGAAAACTCAAATTTACTGGTCTGCCGTTCTAAGGAAACGCAATGAAAATTCGGGAGTTGCCAAATTCCATCTGATAAAATGTTTATTTTGGAAGGAACTGGTACATATTTCTCCTTGAAAATCATAGATATTTTAGACTAAAGTGAGAACAACATTGTCTGAAAACAGCCAGGTACTATTTTATCCAACTGAGGGAGGCTGAGTTTTCAGCCGAAACGTTTTGGTTTAATTTGTGAAATTTTAGCCTTGTTACCCACTTTTTAAATTGTTTCTCTCTTTTATTGTCCGAAAATTTTGAGGAAAAATTTTCAGAATTTTCCAAGTAAATTTGTCTTCTACTGAGAGAAATTTGACACCTGAAGGCTTCTCTAACGTTTTTCCTTAGCAAGCAGTGGTGCCCAGCTTGTACTTTTAAAGACTAATACTATTTTAATACCATCATTCTTATCAAACTATCATTTCTAAAAAATAATGATTCGGTTCTGAATATCTCATATTGTTGCGGTAATGGTTTCCAAGCTTCCGAAATTCTTATGTCCAAAAAATGTGTATCAAGCCTGAGCTGATGCTAAGTTTTACAATTCCTTTTCATAAGAATCCATGCAATAGTTAGCTTCTTCAACCTCCTTAAAATGGCATGGTGGATCCCCTCTAATTCTTGCTGCTCAGTTTGTCAGTCAGCATTAACAATAGTCACATGGCATGGTTCAAATACAATCGCAACAAGTATATTAATCTTAAGTAGCCACGTATCTCAGGAACTTCTTTATTTTTAGTATCCGAATACTTTGCCACCCTCTCCCAATGCCAGTATTTTAACAAAATGATGATCCATCTGGCTCCAGAATTTTTATTGTTGATAAACTCTGTTCCAAGCCCGATCTGATTTTATATCCTTACTGTTTACTAAAAACTTACCCTCAGAATTGATCCTTCATATTGTTTCTGTAATGATTGTGGCTGACAACTAAAATGTCTCTTGTTGCTATGATGATCCATCTGGCTCCAGAATTTTTTTGTTGAAAAATTTGTTCCAAGCCCGATCTGATGCAATTCTTAATTTTTAACCTTTTCAAGAAACTTTAACTATTAGTGCACTTTGCTGCGATGATGATCTATCTGGCTCTGAATTTTTTTGTTGAAAAATTTGTTCCAAGCCCGATCTGATGCAATTCCTATTTCTTTGCCTTGCCAAAAAACTGTTACAATTATCAGTGCACTTCTGCAATGATGATCCATCTGGCTCCAGAATTTTCTTGGTGAAAAACTTGTTCCAAGCCCGATCTGATGCTAATCCTAATTCTTTGCCAAGTTATTGAACTTCTTCTGCTGCAATGATGATCCATCTGGCTCCAGAATTCTCTTGTTGAAAAACTTGTTCCAAGCCCGATCTGATGCAAATCCTAATTTTCAGTCTCTCCCAAAAAATGTCAGAAATATCAAGCATTCACATTCTATTTTTTTACCGTGCGTAAAAAAAATTTGCCCAAAGTTGGCTCCAGAAATTACTTATTGAAAAATTTGTTCCAAGCCGGATCTGATCAATCGCCTCTTCAAGTAGCTATGTAAGTTATGTACACTCTGTTCACCAGAAAGGAGTCAATCCTTTTTTTTTCTTAACATTCCCCGCAGATTCAAGTGTTTCAGCTCATGGGTGAGTCAGGAATTCTAGTGTCTCTCCTCTAAATAGTTTTGATAATCATTCACAAAGTTGGAAGTGAATTTTTTATTGTTGAAGCCCAAGGTACACTCTACTACAGGTATGGACAAATGGAATTTTAGAAAGTCGTCAAAACGCGTAGATTTGACAGCATCGAGAGTACGACTGCGAAGACCTGCGCGGCAAATGGACGGTACAACTTCATACGTCACTCGATCGCCGATTTTCTCAGCGCTGCCACTTCGGCACCCCGTTTGTCCATACCTGTAGTAGAGTGTACCTTGGTTGAAGCCTAGCTGATTGAAAAAAATTGGCAGTGCTAATGTCTGAAGCCTTGTAAATATAATATATTTTTCTGTTTATTACAGGAAAAATTTGAGTAATCCACTGTTGAAATCAACATTGAATGTCCTCCTTAACCTCGACATTGGTTCCTCCGATGATTTCATGGACGTGGATCAGCCAGACCCAACGCCACCGAAGAAACCCAAAGAAACCCCACCCCCTCCACCACCATCAGAAGGTCCTGAACTAACACCTGAACAAAAAGAGGTAAAGCCCTTCGGAAGACCGGCAGCCCCATAGATTTTTTATTTATGTTTGATGAGAAATTTGTGCTCGGATTAGTAATTTTGATACTTTAGAATGCACTTAATGCATTCAAGTCATCGATTACAAGTTCATTGCTTTTTTTTCAGCGTGGTGAGGTCTTTTGACTATTACCGATTGTGTCCGCAGAAGGTTAACATACATTGACAATAAAAGAAAAAAATGAATGTCCCAAAATCCAAAAGATTGCTGTGTAAAGTGTCACAATTTTTCGGCACTCTAGCTTGTGGCTAAAATGAAGCAGTCTTGACCAGAAAAGTTTTCTATCAAATTTTTCAATTGAGTTGTAATTTAGTCTAGACCATTCAGATTTATCAATTTTTTTATTTATGGCCTCTAATAGGTATCTCAATTTCCAACAGTGTAAGCTCAGCTATGTGTAGCACCAAAACCAGCTTCAGGCTCAAGCTAAGACTTTTATTAGATGCTCTTATCATCTTTCACTGTAATGACGCGACAATCAATTGTTTGTCTCCTGTAAAAAAGGGCTAAGTGAGGCCCTTTGCTTTTGTATGATTCATTGAAGTAATTATTCAGTAGCACCAAATTAATTTAATCGTTTATATCAAAGGTACAACTAGGAAATTACACCTTAATTTGGGTGTCAAACTTACGCGTGAGTCCATTTTTTGAATGAGACCCAAATGACACTTATCGTTTCAGTTACAAATTTTTCTCTTCAAATGTCGTAGAAGTGTAAAGTTTAATTTTTGGAGTTTGCCCCAATTCAATTAGTCTCTTGTAGTTATTCAACTCTCCTGTTTTCAACTAATATTTTCTACTACCTCCTCTAAATCTTAAATCGCTGTTTTAATGATGAACCATTGATATATTTGTGATAATGTCTGATCAAATCTTCGATTGGTCTTTCTGAATAACAGCGATCACAACCTTCCAAAGTTGAATGTTTGGTCAGAATGTGACCTGTTTTTTTTCTTTTGCCTCTGTTCGCTTTTTCTTTTACAATTTGTTTTCACTTTCAGGCCTTAAAAGAAAAAGAACTGGGCAATGAAGCTTACAAAAAGAAAGATTTCGATACAGCCTTAAGCCATTACAACAAAGCGGTGGAATTAAATCCAACAGAAATGACGTATTATAACAATATAGCAGGTAAATTATTTTCTCTTTTGCCATAACTGATCCTTTCAAGTTATGTCAAGTCATGTAATGTAGTTATGTCATCCCATGTCCCGATGCAAATTCAAATTTCTTCTAGTTCCATCTCTCAATTAAGTCAGGTTATGAGCTTTTTCATTCAAGCCATCCGTTTCAAATTTATCCAACTTCATAGATCTTGGCCTCTTCCGATCCTTAAATCGCTATTTTAATGATGAACCATTGACATGTCTGTGATTTTACATATGATCAAATCTTCGATTGGTCTTTCTGAATTATAGCAATTACATTCACTTTTCCAAAGTTGAATCCTAAGCACCTCTCTAGGAGGCAACGTATTTTTTCATGTTCATTGAATTTTGCTAGATTTTGCTGATGTTTTTAGATCTCTTGAATTACCTTTTTAATGATGAAAATCTCTTAACACATCTGATAACTTCTGATTGAATTTTTCGATTGGTCTTTCTGAAACTTGGTAATTTTACTGGTCTTTTAACCTTTCCCCCTGATGAGGTTAAAATTTTCGAGAGACTTATTACACTATGAAGAAAAATAAATAATTTGTAAACGTAATAGTACAAAAAAGGTCTATCTGTACCAATGACAAGTAAGAAGAATCATTGCATCACCCAAATTTTTCATAAATTCTTTCACAAGAAAACTCCTGAATTTTCCCTTTCATTTCTTTTGTTTTTTCAATTTCTTTTCCCATTTTTGTATGTGTATCAACAACTGTCATATTTGTGATGATCAGTCTATTAGTTAATATCTGCTGCACACCCATTGATGGGTCTTCCTAACAGTTGTTATTTAGCCATAAATTGAAACTTGCTCCCTTTGAAATTGGAGTTCTCTCAATCTCATTTGTTTTTTCTTTTTCTTTTGCCTCTCATTAGCTGTGTACTTCGAACAGAAGGAGTATCATAAGTGCATAGAACAGTGCGAGAAAGCAGTAGAAGTAGGCAGAGAAAACAGAGCAGATTTCAAACTTATATCGAAAGCCCTAGCACGAATTGGTAATGCGTATAAAAAAATGGAGGTAAGAATTGCCTGTCACACATCAAGCGCCTATTCTAAGAGTGTTCCCGAAAAGTTTCTTGCCAATTTTGTTGTCTACAGTCCGCTTTTAGTGTAAACTAACCTGCTTTTTATGATGATATCAATCTGTCCAAGCAATGTTGACACAACACGCTGGAGCCTGAAAAGGCTGAACCCACCAGTGTGGGCAATGTTGGATGCAGAAAAGTGCTTCTTGCTGTCTGAAAAGGCTGGTCTAAACTACAGTCTAATCCACTATTCTCCCAGCGCGGATCTAAGAGAAGTGGTGATATTGATAACCTGACTGTTAACTTTTCCCTATCATCAAATTCCGACCTAATATTTTGCCACCAGACGGTTAGGTTGAAACATTGAATGCCGGATAAGGTGTTTAGTCCCCATCCGAATGCTCTTAATGATGATGATCAAGTGTCCAAGCAGTGTTGCCATAACACACTGGAGCCTGAAAAGGCTGAACCCACCAGCGTGGGCCACATTGGCTGCAGAAAAATGCAGCTTTGCTGTCTGAAATAGCGAAGTCTCCAATCTCCAATCAAAGACTTGAATGGAGTGTGAAGATTTTGTTTCCCCATCCATAACGTTTTCTTGATAACGTTTTGAACTGCTTAGAAATAGCACAATGTCGGAATGTCATTTTGACAAAAAACAAAATTAAGTTGGTGCCAAATCCCCTGGTTTTACGCGCAGGATCGTTTGTTGTGTGCTGAACTCGTGCTGTGTCTAATGATGAAGCTTTATATTTGATTTTTAAATGAAATTTTCTAAACTTATAAAGACATTTTCGGAACCACTGAAGCATAGCAGAGTCAAATGATGTGGTAGGACTTTCTTTTAAAAGTCAAATTTTTATGATCTCTCTGTCTTGATCTTAAAACCTATCCAGTTTCCTAATAGTGCTGCACGAAGGTTGCCTGTAGCTAGGTTTTATCGTGATATGATACTTATTTTGGATTCCATCAATTATTCATTTCTGTTCAAAGCATTTAAGGCTCGATAAATTTTGGTTGGTTTTTTTCTTTTTTTTTGTTTTTGTGCTATTTTTGGGAACTCTATAATTAAACGGCCCGATTCCAAATGAAACTTTTGATGGTTGAAAGACTATTATCTGTGAGTGCTTTTGATGATGAAATATCAACCGAAAAGTATAAGCAGCGTTACTGTAACATGCTGGAGCCGTGGCAGTGTGGACAACACTGGCCGCAGAGAAACGCATACGTGCTGTCAAAAAAACCTTCTTCCCATTTGAAAAACTCCTCCTGAGCAAAAATTTTCAGAGTGACTCTTCATTTTTCCCTTCTTTATGTTCTAACTGCTGTGCTTTAATGAAAATAGCAATTTTCTTACTGAAGCAAGAAGGTTGGAGAAGGATACTGGCTAGCTGATCTATTTGTAAAATTTCTTTTCGTAGGCTTCCCATTTGTACGTGGGTCTGTACGCTTTTTATGAGATACTTTGTGTGAGAAAACCAAATTAGTAGATTTTCAGCAGTTGAATTGTCTGATCGATGGGTGGTAGATAGCGATTTGCTTGAATTTTACAAGAAAATTTTCACTTTCAATTTTGTTCCTGACTAATTCCATTGGAACATATCCAATTTGTTGAATGTGCAGTTATCTGATTAGCCTTAAAGAATGCACTGTTTGAAAAAGCCAAGTCGCAGATCTCAAATTAGTAAAGACACTGGGTACTATGTGACAGGAACTTGAGAATTTCCAACAGCTTGGTGATTGTGAACCTGGCACCATGTCAAGTAATAAATTAATAGTTTTTTGTTTTTAACGCAATTCTCCACTTTCAAAATACATTTTTAGAACCATTAGTACATGTGAAGAGTCAAGCCATATGATTAAACTCGTCCGAGGTTCAATCCTTCTGTCACTTCCTCTCTTGTTTTGATCAATAAAATTTTGACAAGAATTCTATTAGTTCTGGGTTTCGAACGCTGTACCATATCAAACAGTGGCGTGGCGTGACTATATCCGGTAGGCGTTCGGTAGGAGTGTTAACTTTAGGGGGGGGGGTCAGGAAGGTTCACTCCCCTTCCTTAAAGGGGGGTTCGGGGGGTCTGCCCCGGAAACTTCTTAAAAAATGAAGCCGCAAGAACACGAATTTAACCCTTTCTGGTGAAAATTGTGCCGGTAAATTGTCATTGAAATTTTGTTCTTTTTTTCGATCGGTTTCCTGTGATTCATATTGTCAAATGATAACGTATTTTCGCAACACGCACCTGCAGAGAGAGATGGGAGAGGGAGACCGGGAAACTGGGAGATGCGGCCCGCAGGCGCAGGGGGGGAAGCGGAGGGCGAATCGCGGCATAGAGGAAATTCGGCGGTTCGCAAACCCCTGCGGACCACTGCTATAAGAAACAGCTGGACTGATGAACGGCTCTCCTCTCTCGTTCTTATCCCCTCCCTTTTCTCTTTGCTGTGTTCCCTCCGCGAGCGCAGTCCGCACTCGTCTCCGAACCCAATGCTCACGCTCCGCTCTGCGCCGTGCGCCGGTGCCTCTCCTCTCTCGTGTACCCTTTGCCCCTTCATCATTGCACCCAGGTTCTCTCTCCTCACCGTACGCAGATCATCCAGGTTCGGTAGCCGGAGTGGACCACGCGTCACAGGATTTTCTCTCTACGCTGCCCCACATGCCGCTGTCGGAAGCCAAGCGCCCGATACTTATTTGCGATCTACTATTCTGTATTCTGTATTGCTTCCCACATTCTTAGCCATAATTTATTAATTGTCTCAAAATATTTTAGGGTGTTCGGCGAACACTGCGAACCTATGGACGCCACGCCACTGATATCAAATGATAGGTATTGATTTTGATGTTTCATATGAAATTTTCTAAACTCAAAAGGACATTTTCGGAACCACTGATACATGTGCAGAGTCATGTTCTCTGAGTTCAAAGCCAACTTGTTACGGTTCAACCTCTCTTTTACACCCTTTTTGGTTTCAGTCAATTATCATCACCATTTGCCTCTTGAAATGTGAAAACTTTCCTAGTAGCTGGTCCAAACACGGGTTCAAACTATTAGGTAAAGTCCCTTTCTTTCATTTAGTCCTAAGAGAAAGAGTGATTTCAATGGATCTATGTCAATCGTGATGTCCTCGCTCTCTTATTGCGAAGCGATTTTTTCCATTTATTCAATTTCAAAAGACTTCTCAGTTTTTTTGAAGGGAAGTACCAGTTTTGTTACTTATCATCCTCTTTTAAGAACTTACCGTTTAAATTGGTCTGTTGAATGGCCCGTCTGCGACTCCTCCTAATGCAGATTTAATATTTTAATTCGGATTTTAAGTAATTTAAAGAGACAGCATTTGTTCGATGCCTCAGTGATACTTGGTCAGTCATCTTTAAAGCGTTTGAAGTAGTTGACGTTATGTAGTGCTTTTTATGATGATATCAGTGTCTCCAAGCAATGTTGCCACAACACGCTGGAGCCTGAAAAGGCTGAACCCACCAGTGTGGGCAATATTGGATGCAGAAGAATGCTATATGCTGTCTGAAAAGGCCAGTTCAAGTTCTCTTGTGAGACTTTACCCCATGGCTTGAGCTTTCAAAGAAGTGCTATTTTAGGGAATTATCTGTTGGTTACAATCCTTTTTAAAAAAAATAAATATAAATATACTTACAGTAAGCAGCAGTTTACTGTGTAATATTTTAAACTTAGAATATCTTAACGAAGTATTAGGTGGATAGATCTAAACATCAGATGAACGCTTTTTGTGATGATGATTGTTTGTCCAAGTAGTGGTGCCTCAACGTGCTGGAGCCTGAAAAGGCTGAACCCACCAGTGCGGGCATCATTGGCTGCAGAAAAATGCGTTACGCTGTCTGAAAATGTGCATTCTAATGTTTCGATTCCCGAAGGCAATTATATTGGAAATTATAGAAATCTGGCTTTATTTTTCTATCAGCTCTGTCACATGTTAAATGATGAGGTGTTGATTTTTGATGTTTCATATGAAATCTTCTAAACTTATAAAGACATTTTCGGAACCACTGAAGCATGTGCAGAGCCAAGTGAATTGCCTCAATTATTTCCTAGTCCTTTTTTTCTTTTTTTCTTTTGCCTCCCTTCATAAAGTCTTAGTAATTTAGGAGCAGAACTTCCTCGTTCAATCAGAAAACAGAAGCAGTTGTAGATTCAGGAGATATTCGAGGTCGAATTGCGTCTCTATTAGGTCAGTTTTCATGCGGTGTTTCTGACATCGAAGCCTGTGGTCTGCTAATTTTGTTGAAACTTAAGGAAGGAAATCACTGGCATGAGGGCTTTTTATGATGAAGGTAAAGCGCCCAAGCAACTTTGCCGCTACACACTGGAGCCTGAAAAGGCTGAACCCACCAGTGTGGGCAATGTTGTATGCAGAAAAGTGCTTTATGCTGTCTGAAAAGGCAATGCATGACATTTAGTTCTGTTTCTTGAATACCTAGAAATATATTCTATCCATCTCATCAGTCAAAAAGTAATTTTTAATGACCATATCATCCTGCAGTTTTAACAAGAAGATGGATAGAAGTTCATTTTCTTAACTCAGTCAGTTTCAGCTCTCTTCTCAAATGATGACTAGCTTTCTTTCCTGATAAAGTGAAGGTCTTGACTAACACTTGTGCAACGTCTGATGAGAACTGTTAATTATCTTTTCTTGTTTTCACGAAAATTGTTTTTTACACTAAGGAGGTGAACTTTGCCTGTATGCTCAATGATGAATTACTTTTGTAATTTGATACTGATGAAAATTGTATAAACTTTATAGACATTTTCGGAACCACTGAATAGCATACTGATATAAATTTTACTTTCTCGCTCCCTTAGTTCAACTTAGACATCCTTCAAATCAATCTATTTTATAATAATGTTAAATTATTAAATGACTAAAAGTTACTTGGAATTCAATGCCTGCATGTTGAATGATGAAGTGTATTACCCATTTGATATTGTACATGAAAATTCTTTAAACATCAAAGACATTTTCGGAACCTCTGAAACACATGCTAAGTAAGCTGCATCATTCGATTCTCTGTCTTCATTTTTTTTGTAACTTTGTAACTCATCATCAATTAAAGCCTGTTTGTTCTATGATGAAATCTGTTATTTGACCCCCAAATGAAAAGTATCTAAACTTTATAGACATTTTCGGAACCACTGAAAGACATCCAGAGCTAAAATTGATGAATTCTCACTTTCATTATCTGTAGGAGAGATATATCTCATCACTCAAGACATTTTTAAATCCTGGCGATTGCATTGCCTCCTGCCCTGCTGTAATTGAGCAAATAATGTATAAAAGTAACTTGCCCTTTTAACTCAGATTTTTTTTTTTTTACATCAGAAAACTCTACTTAACTTATCTAGCTTTGCATCAAGTAATTAAGGATGGTTCCGGAGGAAGGCCCTTATAACATTGGCAAGCTTGTTTCTCCGATAGTTTTTAATTAGACAAGCAGGTAGCAGTGGTTTAAGCTACGCTGCCATTTGCTCAAGCACACCCAGCAGCGGCAATTTTCCAAGTTGGCACCCTGTTTTTCCTCCATTTAAATCCATGAAAAATATCGATTTTAGGTCACCATAAATCGATTGTTTTACACACATTTAAATGAAGGAAAAACGGTGTTGCTAACTTTTAAGAATCGCCAAGACCACTTGGAATGGGCGTTCTTCTGGAATCCTCAGTTGTTGTCTCGTAGCATTCTGTGCGACAAAAATAGTACTTTTGAATGTTTTTTGTTCCTCCTAAGTCATTCAAAATTGGCAAAAGAGCTCTCTTCAAGAATTTTGTCTCACTTTATCTGTTTAGGATTGGCGTAGTGCTAAAACTTACTTCGAAAAAGCCATGTCAGAACACAGGACTCCAGAGTTAAAATCTATCATCAGCGATCTCGACAAAAAAATTAAAGAAGAAGAGAGGAAAGCGTACGTCGATCCAGTCAAAGCAGAGGAAGCAAAAGAACAAGGCAACGAATTATTCAAGAACGGTGAGGATCTTCCTTCATGATTTTCCTTTATCTTATCAGCCACTAGAGATTGACCTCATAACTAGATTGTGGTGTTTCTCCTTATTTATTTTCATAAAAGAATACTACCAGAAATATTTGCAGGACACTTTCAAAGAAAAATCTTCCAAGGACAAAGGAAAATTATACTTAAGGACCCCGCTCACTCCTTATAGGTATGCTCACCACAATCGATTTCCAATTTTTTAATTGAATTAAATTCGTTTTTGAATGCCGATCACAAATCATGATTGCGCCAACTTTCTACGAGGCACTGTTATCGCAGTATTTCGCACAATCGGTGGTGGAAGTTTTGATTGTTTCTTGAACAAGTGAGGCCGGCAAGGCCATATCTATCTTTCAGCACTTGCTGAAAACGAGGAGAACCTGGCAGTCTTATCTCAGACTCCATGTAGATTCTAATCAGATTCTTTCTCTCTTCCACTCTTTTCCTTACTCATCACCGCCTTAGGTTTTCCTCGTTAAATTGCCGCGCTGGCCTCACTTTTTCAAGTAATTATCCGAACTTCCAGCTCGGACTGTGCAAAACTCTGCGAAAACGGTGCCTTGTAGAAAGTTGGTGCAGTGATGACTTTTGATCCGAAAACAAACTTAATGCAATAGAAAAATTGTAAATCGATTGTGGTGCTCATTCCCATAAGGAGTGTGCGGGGTCCTTTGGTCCAATAACTTTCACTAGTTATCCTGTAATAAGTGTAATGTTCTTGGAAATGTGCAATGCCGCAAACTGAGATAACAGGTTAGGTAGCTTCCAAACGCCAACTTGTACTGTTCCAAAAGAACAGTTGACAGTAACAACGTTTTACGTGAAGTTGCTGGTCTTAGTTTGATTTGCAACTAGAATCTAGATGTATTAAGTTTTCATATTAACTTAAATTCAGTGACAAATGATGACCTTCTTTTTCCTGACTGAGTGATGGTTTTGACTAACACTTGTGCAACGTCTGATGAAAACCTGTCAAGTACCTGTGCAAGAATTTTTATATACTTGTGGAATATTATGCCCTAGTCTGATGCTGTACTTTTTCAGTAGATATGTCTTAAAAACCAGAACCTGGGGCATTAGTTTTATTTTTACCTCTCTCTCAAATGATGATTTTTTCTCTCCTGATCAAGTGATGGTTCTGACTAATAATTGTGCAACGTCTGATGAAAAAACATCTTGTATGAAGAATCCATCAAATACTAAAGCTAAAGCAAGCATTGTGAATGTATTAATATGCTGGATTATCGCCTTTCTAGGTAAATATGCGGAAGCAGTAAAAGCGTATTCCGAAGCCATTCATAGGAACCCAGATGAAGCTAAATACTACAGTAATCGGGCCGCCTGTTACACGAAGTTAGCTGCATTTGACCTTGGACTGAAAGACTGCGAAACGTGTACGAAATTGGATCCTAAATTCAGTAAGTTTTTCTGCTCCACCAAAATGATGAATTGGAAAGTTGGTGTACAGTTTTTATCACCGCTGACTGGTTTCCATATTTTCAGAGGCAAGGTCTTCGTGGGAAATATCGTGTCGAAAAATTTAACTGTCTAAACAAATTTAGTATCAAATGATGATTTTCTCTCTCCTGAGTAAGTGATGGTTTTGACTAACACTTGTGCAACGTCTGATGAATACCTGTGTTATATTTAGGCAGTTAAATTTGATGAACGAAAGAAAATTTAAGAATATTTTCCAGGGAGACTGATCTCATGTATTGAAGTCATAGTCAGTTCCATCGTCATCATCTAAGAAAGTATCTAACAGAAGAACATTCAATGATGACACACGGAGTTCTACCCAGAAGTGAGCATAAACTCAATTATGGGAAAGGAAACTCATGTGGGCTCTATTTCCGCAATAGTGCACGTCTTTCTGTTTCAATGCCTTCTTCTCCTGTTTTGATCATTCCAAGACTAAACAAAAATTACCAGTTCTGGACTTCAGAATAACTCTCTGGATATGGAGGTGCTTTTACATCTACCATGCTCACTCTTTCTCTCATGTCTTGAAGAAAAATACACATCATTTTTTTTCCTTTCTTTTCTTCTGACAATGATTATTAATATATTTATTTTCTATAATTCTTTACAGTCAAAGGTTGGGTCCGGAAAGGTAAAATTCTACAGGGAATGCAACAACATGGTAAAGCTTTAGATGCCTATCAAAAAGCTCTAGAATTAGACCCATCAAATGCAGTAAGTAACCAATTCTCATGTGCATAACTCTTTAGTAGTGCCATCGTTCTTTTTGTAGAATTTGCTATTGGAATCAGTTATCAATTTGAAAATCCCTGCACCTTGCAACAGGCCTATTCCAATCTTATCCGGGCTCTAATCAAAATTGAAGAATATAATCGAAGATAAAAACAGGGGATATTGACAGAGTATTAGGTCGGTAGATCTAAATATCAGATGAACGCTTTTTGTGATGATGAGTGTTTGTCCAAGCAGTGGTGCCTCAACGCGCTGGAGCCTGAAAAGGCTGAACCCACCAGTGCGGGCATCATTGGCTGCAGAAAAGTGCGATACGCTGTCTGAAAATGCGCATTCTAATGTTTCGATTCTCGAAGGCAATTATATTAGAAATTAAAGAAATTTGGTTTTATTTTTCTATCAGCTCTGTTACATGTTAAATGATGAGGTGTTGATTTTTGATGTTTCATATGAAATCTTCTAAACTTACAAAGACATTTTCGGAACCACTGAAGCATGTGCAGAGCCAAGTGAATTGCCTCAATTATTTCCTAGTCCTTTTTTTTTAATGCCTCTCTTCATAACCGAAGTCTTAGTACTTTATGAACGGAACTTCCTTGTTGTTGTTGTTCAGAAAATCAATTTGAAGCAGCTATAGATTCAGGAGATATCTGAGGTTGAATTGCGTCTCTAATATTTTTGAATCGCTTGCTTTACATGTAAACAAAATTCTTCAGAGCTTATTGTTTCTGAAGCCCTCAAGTTTTACCATTGACCGTTCATGTTTGCAATCTGCAGGACTTATTTTTGACTTATCTTTGTTGTACAGGGAAATTTTGAGGAAAAGTAAGATAGCTAGTTCAATATCCTGACATGAGCCGTTTTCTCGATCCATAAAAAAATAATTTTACTTTATCTGCTCTGAAAGCTTGTTAAATTTATGAATACAAACAGCATTAGATTTTTTAAGTAAATTACACAACTAACGTAATGCCTATATATACCCACGAAAGAAATGAGATGCCGCAAGAAATTGCCCTTATCTCTCCAAGCGAACTTTTCCTCGAAATTTTGGTGCAGATCATACCTGTTGAGTATTTGATGCTCAGTAGTCAACAATGTCTGTAAAATTCTAGCCTCCAAATGTTAGGAAAATTCATTTTTCTGACAACACAAATCCTGAATCTGTCTTAGATAACACCAATCATGAGACTTGTCTCTTAACGAAACAGCCATTTTCAATTTTGAATGAAGGCTTTTATAATGAAATTCTGGCATTTTCTGGCACTTCTAATTACATGCAATGGAGAATTAATTCCTGATAATGGTAGTAGTACCTTTGATCGACTGTATCGCACGGACATGCCTGGAGCTTCCATTGAGGTGTTGTTACTGCTCAAAATTGTGCGCTGATTCAATATCTGTGTAAATTTATTTTTACTACTTGAAGTTTTCATATTGTTTAACAGGAAGCTTTAGATGGATACAGACAATGTACAGTAGCTGTCAATTCAAATCCTGAAGAAGTGAAAAAGAGAGCCATGAGTGATCCTGAAGTCCAAGCAATCCTTCAAGATCCTGCAATGAGGATAATTATCAATCAGATGCAGAACGATCCAAAAGCTTTGCATGAGTAAGTATTGACTCTGTTAACTCTCAAAGTTTCTCTAGCTGTGGGGTATCTTTTTTTTTCGATAGTCCGATGATAGATGTGCTCTTATAATTTGTTCGAAATTCATTACTACTGACATTTGTTCCAGTTGATTCAATTGATGGAACAGACTAGTTAGTGTTTAGTCATGCAGCTATTCATTTAAGTAATGGCAATCTTATCTGATAATATAAATAAAACAGTCTGTTGTTCGATTATTGTGGATACAATTGGAACCAAAAGTGATGTATTCTGTCCGGCATGTTACAGTGTTTTATCATAAATTTTAAGTGAATGAACAGATTTTACAAGTTTTGAATTTTTGTTACTAACACTTGATTTATTTTGTTTCAGCCATTTGAAAAATCCAGAGATTGCCTCCAAAATCCAGAAACTGGTCAGTGCTGGCCTGATTGCCATTGGCTAAGACTGCATGCCTGCCTCTCTGTGGTTATTATTTGCCTGGTTTTTCGGCTTTTTTGTCTCCGTGAAAGGAACTTCGAGCAAGTGGATACGTTTTTTTTTTGTATTGTAGCTCCGATTCCTGAATCCTTTGACATCCGGTGATAGTGTTTAGATGGTTAAGACTCTAACCTGAATCGAAACTTTCCAAAGTGTAATGCCCTAAGACTTAAAATAATCACTTTTGTTACTGAACTAATTTTTTATATCGAACACGACTTCCTTATACTGCTTTAAAAGCTAACCGATAAAAAATTATAACAGCCTGCATTATTGTATGCTCAGTTATACTGTACCGTAAATAAAGCAGCACCTCACATTTTATCAATTAATTTTACATTAATTTTTACAACTATTTTCTTCCGTTATTATTTTTTTAAATATAAAATCTTAAGTGTAACTGTGCTTTGTTTTTATTTTCTGAGAATTCTCATAGTCATTTTGGTCCCTCGGATCGTCCATTCTAGAGCTCCATTAGTGGCATGGAACTACATTAGTGATAAAGGAATAATTTTGTTCCTCTGAATTATGTACTATTATTTATCAGAGTGTTTTAAAATACGTATGGATGTAGCAGCTACAGCAATGGGGCAGAGTTCTCTCCTATGTGGACCTATTTATTGTTGAAACTTGTGGGTCGAACTTTAATTCAGTGCCCAGTCTTTGTCCTCCATCAATGTACATAGCTCATGTACGCAAACTTAACATAAAGCTGGTTTATGGTGAATTTCCCATCTCACTGATTTTCCGGCACTGATTTTTCATGGTTTGCCTTGAAAGATCTGTACTTTTTTATATACAACTCTTGAATATCTTTATCACTTGGCGTTGCAAGGTATATTGAACAGAAAAAAGAAAACCACGAATTAGGATGATCATTCTTTTCTTCAAAGGCCGAACATCGGTATTTTCACTAAAGTACTAAATCTTTTCCCTGTTCAGTCCTTTTTTCTGACAAATAATTTAGTTGATGCCACTAAGGCATCGTAGGCAAGTGTTTTATGAGTTACTGACTCGAAAAATTCCACTGCACCCTCCCTCAAATGATATAGAAAGACCCGACACAAGAGAATGTTTTCTTTCCCACTGCCCCCTTCCTGTCGCTGTTTCAAGCACCTCCGATTGCAGTTTCAATATTTCCTTTCGAGTTCAGCAGCCTGATCGTTGAAAATTTAACTGACTATGTCAGCTAGATAAGACAAGTCAGCCCTACCTGTGCCGCGTAATGTATCGATTTTCGATTCTTGTTGTGCCAACATAAATTTCAACTATCAGGCTGCAGATGTGTCTATCCATTAGTGTTATTAGACCATAAAAAAGTAAAACCGAACTTCGGAGTAGGTATAGGGTATCCCGCGAAATTGAAGGAAAATCTTAGCTCTTTGCCCGCTCAAATTGGTTATGATTATGAATAGTATGATCGCATCGTTTTAAAAAATCGCGTTTTTTCTCACGATATTGAGGTAAAAATTGTGTGATCATTTCTAATGTATTTTGTTACTGGGAAATTAACATATTGAGGTGAATAACGCGCAATTTTTAACGATTTTACAAAACCGCTGAAAAATGGCGCGTTTGCCGCGATGGCGATATTGAACGATTATCGCGCAACTATCACTGATTTTTATCGCGACATTAGTTCATTTTTCGTAAAATTCCGTGATCGATTAAAATACACAAACAACGTTACCGTTCCTCATAGACCGTTCCTAAACGTGGGCTCCCACCGCACAATGAAACGACCCATTCAGAGAGGTTGGAAATGAAATTATCGACTAAAACCGCAAATTTTAAATGTTTATTTTTCACATTGTAAAATTTGTGGAGCGCCTCTTGTGGCAAAATTTTAAGAGGAAGTCAATGAGACCACTTATAAGATTTTGGCGTTCGCTATTAACATCGATGTGAGCTTTTCATGATACCACATTTTTTCCGAACTTTCTCATTGACCCGCTGCTGTGAGCGCCGCTGATGATGCTTGAAGTGTCCGAAGTCAAAACGCCTTCACTTTCGTGCGTATGCAACACGGTCATCCATGGAGCCCGAATAGTTGCATCCAGGCGTTATAAAATTCTTTTAGTACCTGTCGCATGCGACACTAACGAAAGCTTTGATTATCTTACGTCTGAACTTAATTCAAGCGTTGTCTGTTGTGCCGCCGATTAAAACTTTTACTGATTTTTCTCGCGACATTGCCAATTTTCCGAGAAATGCATTCTTTAAATCTACCACAACGTTACTGGCCCTTGAAATTGCAAAAAAAAATAGGTATTTAAGCATGATATGCAGAGTTTCATTTACCCTAATAATTAAATGAGTCGTCCTTTGTTTGAATTTTTTCTTTCCTACGGGAAAATTCATTTTGACGTTTAAGAGCGCAATTTTCAAAGAGAAATTTTGATGATTCGCACGGAATAAAATCTGTAACAAAAGCGATGACTATTCGTCTTTCAAAAAAATGAAATACGGCAGGAAATCCGTAACTTTACACGCCAAAGTACACGTATATGATTTTTGGGTGAAAATGGCGAATATATTGCCCAATGAAGTCTGGTAAATATATTAATGAAAATGTTTGCTCTTTCCCTCCTGAAATATGGGCTGACGTGGCGTACTTTGCGATGTATCGATTGATCTGCCACTTAAAACTATGGAAAAGGATCGATAGACAGGGCGTTCGCAACGAACACCTCATTAATCGATTCTTCATCGCAGCTGCAAATGGGGAAAAATCGATGGTCGATCATCCGCGCTTCTCCACTAGTGGGCTGCGGTTGATGACCATACAAATTCAATATTCTACTCAAAAAATTCTTCATTCAAAAGTTAATGCAGTAAAAAAAGTGGAGAGGTATAACAGGATACCGCAGATTGATGCAGAGGCCCATCGGATTGAAGTTATGAATTATGATCACTTACACTAACCAACTGTTCCAATAAAAGAACACCACATCTTCAAACTTCAACTGGATGCTCTCGGTATCGCCTTCAATTCGTCAAGATACAATTTCTTATACGCCAGTGGTTGGATTGCCTACTCAAAGGATTGAAGACAGCCAGTAGAAGATAACACAAGGCGAGTGTGAAATTTTCTAATGAATGGCTAATCGTACAGGAAACTAGAATGCGAAGAGAGGGGGTATCATGTGGCAGTAGGAGAGGACTTAGAACCACATGCCTGCATCTTCTGGCTCCCTTCCCCTCGGTTCTTCATCACCCCCACTCCTTGCATTGAAATTCCTCTCTCTGTATCCCCCAGCTGTCGGTATTTTCTAGGTAGTGGCAGCGATTGTGACGTTTACGAACCAGCCAAGTTGCCTCCAAGCCATCAAGCCAAGTTTTGAGTTCAGGCTTTTGTGTGTCGGTCGTCGCGTTTTTCGCGTTTGCGGTCCTTCCTATTAACAAAATCTCGAGTTTGTTCATTTGTTTTGATTTTGCCGTGTCAACACCCTGCAAATCATTTTTGCACCCTTTTGTGCCTAGCATCATCCGAGTGCATTCAAAATTCAAATCAGTGCCTTGTCTTATCGATGCACCAGTGCAGTTTACACCCGTGATCGTATTTTTGTAATTTTGCGACCCAACAATCCTTGTAATATATTATTTCTGTGTTTTCTTTGCCGCGAGCCCTTGCTGGATTACGTTTGGTCGAGGCGCATTTGGATTGTAGCTCCGTGTTTACAATTCGTTTTTCGTTTGTTAGGATGGAGTTTGTGATTACTTCCGGAATTTCGGGAAATATTTACGAGTTAAATTCGTCGTAAGGCGGTTTACAATTGTTTCGTGCGTTAAGCGTCATCCTCACTTGTGGATAAGTGTGTGTTGTGATAAGTTCCAAGCTTATCTCTCAATTTCCGAGTGATTAGCTCAGTTGTTTTGTCTCCAAGTTGGATATAAAAAGGCCTCACCCTGTTCTGCGTCCAGAAGCAAAGAGATAACGCTGATCTCGTCAAAGATGTAAGTCAGCTTTCCTTCAGGTCCTATTTTTCTTCTGTTTGATATCCGCTCTATCCTGCAACTCAACGATAACATTTCCATCGACTGTTGACTGGCTTCTTGCGAAGCCCAGTTTCCTCAGTCTTGTGTACAAATTGTCAATTTTAAATCATTCCAAATGTGGGCCAAGCAGGCAGGCAGGAAAATTGGGAAAAATTCTGGTGGAACGGTGGATACTGAGGGATATTTTGTGTATACAGTTCATCCGCATGGCAAAAGATTACCAAAGCAATCAAGCATTGATGAGCCGATTCTCCTGGTCACTTTTTTGGTCCTAGATATTCAGTTACATGCCACCAATAACTGCCTACTAGCTGACAGATTGCGGTTAACTTTACCAGTCATTACCCGTGGCTCATTTGAGTTAGAGCTTGCGCATTGTATGTTGAGACAAACGTTAAAGTATTGTTTATGTCACCATTCATCAGTGGTGCCACCTGATTGCATGTATTAACCTGTTGAGTGGTGCAAATTCAGAGCTAATTGGAGATTGACGTTTGTCTCAACATATGATGCGCGAGCTCTATGTGTATAGATGTCGTCAGATAAGTTGGCCATTGTTTACATTCGGTTTGCAAGCGCAGATGATGAATTTAGGCCTCTGCACAGACTGTCGTTCGCTACTCTTCATCCACCGGTACTGTTATGCGGTGGAAGACAACAGCAAACGTTCAAATAGTACGCAGTGGTTGGCACACATCCTTTTGTGCATTGAATCCATATTGGAATGCAGTTGAAGTTAAAAGTCTGACTCCGGTTTGTTTTCGTCAGGTTATGTAGGGTCTCAAGGGTACTTTACTACAGAAAAGGCATTCCCTTGTACCATCCTAACATCTTTCTAACCCAGAAGCAAAGCTAATTCAAACTGTAATTTTCACCCTGCAATCTACGTTAACTTGGGAGGGTAATTATTGCTTATGAGACGAAGTAATAATTAGGAATGTCTCTGCCAAGAAAACAATTGCAGAGCTTTGTCTAATGTAAGCGACATCAATGGTAACATTTTTAATCACTGTTGTTGATCATTGATTATTCACAAAGCTGAGTCATGTATCATAGAAGTGTAATCATTAGCCAAGATGATGCAAAATGGAGAGTTTATTTCTGGTCCATCCTGTGTCATATTTGAGCAAATTACATAATTAAGGAATGCTTTTCCATTGTTGGAAACTGGCTTGGCGCATCTATTTGATGGACTGAGTAAATGAAAAGACTAACTTGAATCTGTTGAACTTATTTTTAAAATCAGGCCAGTTATAGGATTGCCAATTAAGTAATAGGTCAAAACTGACTTTTCAGAGGCACAAATCTTCAAAGGAACGTATGTATTTCCGGCTCTATGGTAGCTGCATACCTCGTGTTTGTTCTTTTGATTGGTTGTCCAAAAATATTATTTTGAGTTACATTTTTTTTAAACTTATTTTTCAAAATTTTAATTTTGGAAAAAGCAGGTCTCCAATTTTTGTGAAACTTCTTTTTCTCTCAGATATGTATCTTCGGAAGATTTCCTCAAATTTTGAGACCAGGATGGCGATGGGCCCTGTTTCTGGAGGCTGAAGTTGACCGAACAATGTCTGGCGTAGCCCGCAAAGAGGCCCGGAAAAAAGTTTTTTCATAGGTGATCGACTTCACGAAATCTGCAACTGACGGTCGTGTCGTTGATGCTGCCGTGGTAAGGAAAAACGCCGTATGAACCATTAGGCATTGCCAAATTTTCTTCGGTAAATCACGAATTATCAGGAAAATCTTTAAATATTTTTCCTCCACTTTTTTCAGATAATTTGTTTGCAAGTTCTCAAGTTTCTGAAAATTTCAAGGAAAAATATTCATAACTTTTCTCAAAATTAAACATTTTATCGAAGGAAATTTGGCAACTCTCGAATGTTCATACGGCGTTCTTCCTTAGCGCGGCAGGATGGGGTTGTAACTTTAAATTATAAAATTTCCAAGGCTTTTCCTGTACTTGATCAGCGAGGCCCCAGGAAATCATATCCAAATTCGAAGCCGTGTTGTCTCCACTCTCTTTAAGGGACTCCAGCGCTGCCTTGCTACGGAAGAGCGCCGTATAAGCCATCAGGCGTTGCCAAATTTTCTTCGAAAAATTATGAATTTTCAGGAAAACTTGCGAATATTTCTCCTCCGATTTTCCAGGTGATTTCTTTTGTAATTTCATCTAAAAAATCTGAAAATTTCAAGGGAAAATATTCATAACTTTCTTTTAAAAAAAAAAAAATCTTTTCCTAGAGGAAATTGGACCGCGTTAAGCAGGAAGAAACCAAGCCACATCAGGTATTGCCAAAAACTGTCCAATTCATTTTTTCACCCGAAAACAGCTGTGCAGATTTTTGTGCGATTTTCAGTGAATGTTCTGCAAAGTACGGAGCAAATTTTTTTTAAAATTTTGAAAATAATCTGCACCTACGTGAATGCCGAGGCGGCGTTTTTACTTACACGGCAGTGCAGGTCCAGGCAGGCCTGTTCTGCCGTGCTAAGGAAAAACGCCGTAAGTATGAACATTCGAGAGTTGCCGAATTTCCCTTGATAAAACATGCATTTTTGACAACACCCATGGATATTTTACCTTGAAATTTTCAGATATTTTAGATTGAATTGCGTACAAAATTGTCTGAAAATTTTGGAAAAGAATATTTGCAATTTTCCTAGAAAATTCGGTTTTAATTGGAGGAAACTTGACAACTCTCGAATGTTCATACGGCGTTTTTCCCTAGCACGATAGTGTTTTAGTTACTATCCCTGGGGAGGTAGAGGGATACTTTCCGTTGAAAGATACCCTACAGGGTTCGAACGAATCCGCACTTACCTCGCGCTCTCCGCAAAACCTGAACGAAGCCCGTCGTTGCCAAATGTACTTAAATGCTACCCTATTTTCTCAATTCTTGGCTTTGGACACCACGACGAATTTTTTTCCCTCGTTTCTTGGCAACTGAGCCGACAATCGCAAACAGAGGCACTCGACCTTGTCGCTCCGCGCCACAACTGCGCGAATGCACACACGAGCACCGCTCGAGTCGGAGACGCCGCACAGTGAATCTAGAGTCCCTTTATACTGAGAGTCAAGACAAGGTGAATCCATTTCTGATTGGTTCCCGTATTTTAGGCCTTCACAGTGTCACAAACGGGAATAAAGATTACAGTTTCACCGATTGCAAAGATTATAATCTGGAATGGACCGAGGAATTACGGGTTCGGCAAGGAACAAACGGAATGAGGGAAGGAACGAAGAAAGGAATTGGAGAATGGGCCGATCAAAGATTACGAAAAACGTTTAATTTCTGTAATCTTTATTCCCGTTTGTGACTCCATGAGGGGTGTTGTCTTGACTCTCAGTATAAAGGGACTCTAAGTGAATCGAGTCAATCGGAGAGGTCGGACAAGATTTGGAAACTTTAAACGCTTGTAACTCCATTTATGCAAAACTTTGAGGCTCTGAAAGTGGTTTCATTGGTTTCCTTGTGAAATTCTCTTCACGAAGCACCCCTTGAACTTGAGAATGTGACGGAATAACCATCAAATTTCGTAGTTTTAGTCGAACATTTCATGTCCGACTTCTCGGATTGACTCGATACACTGTGCGCCGTTTCGCCCGTGAAAATTTCCCGTTTCGCATCCGTCTCGAGAGGACAGTCGCTTTTAGAGATGACGTCACTAGGGATTCACCACTATTTCGAATTTGATCCTAATAGCAATAATGAAATAACCTCTTTCAATGCCATAAATGAGAGTAGATTGATAGAAATCGCTTCTGAGAAACGTAATGCTGATAGCGTATGTTCTCCCCTTAAAGAGTTCGTCTTGCTGATGCGGCCGCACACTGGATAGAGTCAATAAGAGAGGTCGGACAAAATTCGAAAACTTTGAAAGCTTGCGATTCTGTTCAAACAAAACTTGGAGGTCTTAAAAGTGGCTCCATTAGTTTCCTCGTAATATTCTCTTTCAGAATCACCCCTTGAAATTCGAAATGTGACGAATTAAACATCAAAATTTGCAGTTTTACTTAAAAAATTTCATACCCGACCTCTCTGATAAGCTCGATCCACTGTTCGCCGTTCATGAGATATGGAAGGCTCCAAGGAGTCTGAACGCCGTTATGGGTGCGTTACACTGCCGGGTTAAGGGAAAACTCCTCACGGACCTGCAGGGGCGAATTTCCTGGAATTTAATATCCGAATTTATGGATAGTTTTCGTCTAATTTTTCGGATTATTTTGTTCGCAACTTCACCTGAAGTTCCTGAAAATTTCGAGGAAAAATATTCATTAATTTCCTTAAAAATGAACGTTTCATCGTAGGAAAGTTGGCATCTCTCGATTGTTCATACGGCGTTCTTCCTTTGCACGACAGTACAAAAGGAGGAGAAAGTTCAGGGCTGCGTCACACCGCGTTAGAATCGGTGTCTATCGCCTGTTTTTCGAAAATCTATCGTGAAAAATCAACGCGGAGTGTGGAACTTTTTCATCGCTAATCCGTCGCCGAATCAGGGCCGGATTTACTTACATGCCGCTCATGGGCCGCCTGTATTTTGCCGCCCCCTTCTCATTCGTTTCGAAACATCAATAAAAACCATCAAGTGAACGTGCCGGAGGGGGAGGGGTGCATAAGACTCGTTTACTCGTGTTGGACACATTTTTTTGCGAGCGTCCTGTCAACACTACGAGCAAAAGTTCACGGAACTTCGCGCGAAAGTTAAGTTCTATAAAGCTATCTCTGTGTGGACAAGGCCTTCTATTTATAAGAATTGAACGAAAAAATTACATATGAAAGAACGAACATAAGTGCGGTTTAATAATTTTAACTTCCGCCGCCGCGCCGCGCTGACCGCATTGTGTTTGACGCAATGCGTGAAGTATTCATGCAGTCTTGCAAGCGCTATACGTTTCACGCCGCCCATTGAGATGAGGTTATCACAAGTCCACGTTTTCCGCATCGGTAGTGTAGTAGGAA